TCAGTATTATGCAAGTCATATGAAATTTTTTGTGTGTTATCTTATTTTTAATATTTTAAGCAAATATTTTTAACATATAGGTGTGAATTCAAAGCTATGGAAAGCACTGTAAATGTCAATATAAACTATCAAATAAATATAATGTTTGAAATTTAGTGTTTTATTTTATATAAATTTATTAATACAGTATTATAACTTTAAACTAAAAAATGATAACAATAATACAAGTAATAAATATAAAGAATATATTTTTTAGTGTATTTATGTTGTATATTGTAAAAATGCATTATAAAAATATTTAATTCATAAATATATAAATTTGTTTGAAGTAAAATATTAGAAAAAATGAAATAAACTTATGTTTGGGTCAGTAATGATTAAATTCAGTAAATATCTCACATTATTTTCGCCTCAAAGGATATGTTTGAAATATGCATTTGTTTGACAAAATACAGCAAAATATTTGCTCATTTTGTTATCAAAAAGATATAATATATTTTATATAATATTAACTCAATATTTTTCTGTTTTATTATTATTGGATTTGGATTTAAAGCCAAAATAGAGTTCACAAATATTAATAACGTTTTTGAAATCAAAAGACAATTTTCACGACAAACTCATCAGTTATTTGCTGAGAGAGACAAAGTTTTTTAAGTGAAACATTGATATAACATTTTGCACATCTCATCACCGCATAGTGTAATGTAATGTCTAATGAAATAAAGAATTAAATAGATTTTTATTACTGTTATGTCTGTCTGCAAAATTTGTCTCAAATAATCGATTCTTATATTTGTAAAAAAAATTTAACAGCAAATAAATACAAACAAATAACAGACTCTTTTTTCCGCAAGTTTTTCATATAAAAATAATTCCCGATAAAAACAAATGTTTTGAATTTTAAAATAAAGTTAATAAAAGAGACTTTAAGGATATAAAATACGGATATTTATATACAGTATATTTAACCTAAAATAATGTCTATTGTATGACTATTCTATCAGAATTAACGTTTAGCCTAAAAACGGGGACTAAAATCGATTTTTAAAATACATAATAAACACAAAAACTTTTGTGGATTAAATAAAACAAAAAGTGAATTTAAACTAAACTCTATTATATTATATAAGTCTAGTTGTAATTGAAGCAATAACAAAGCAATAGCAATATAACTTTAAATGTATAACATTAATATAAAGTAAATGATATTATAATATGATATTTAGATAATAAAGCCAATTATGTAGTGTTTATCAAATCAAATAATAAGTTAATATTATCTAAATATTTTTTCGATAAAGCATTTAGTTTATAGACTTCAATATAGCCAAAAGGGGTCTGTTTTATGTAATGCATGAACACGTTATATGTATTTAATGTAAAAATACATTAAAGACAACAAAATCAATATATCCGACTATCTCTTTATCTTTAACTTCAAGCACAAAGCTATGTATATAAGTCAAGAGTTGAACACAATTTATCCACAAAAAATCTAATCATATCAATAATATTTTATGATATATATATATAACTTATATATCATATACTGTTTATGTGTTACATCAATAATATCTAAAATTAACAAAAATCTTAACTTAATATATAATATATATAACAATATCTATTCCAAGATTTTCTTTAGTCAGTGAAATAGAAAATTCATTTCTTAGATATATTTGTTTGATCTTTGACTTTGAAAAGACTATAATTGACACTCAAGTTATTTGAAATTATATTTGAGATGAAAATGTTTTTTTGTACAGCAATTATTCATTATATTATTGAACGCTTAGATAAACCTATTATTTCATCTTTAATAGATGTATAGTTTTTTATATAATATATTTAGACAAAAATAATTATTTTTAATAATTTAATTATAATAATTGAATAATATATTTTTATATTTTTTTATTATTTTGATAACCAAAAGATACATTAGTTTTTATTGCCTTAATATATTATTATTTGAAGCTTTTTACAATTATTATACCTTTATATTATATAAATAATATAAATATATATAATAATATATTCTATAAATTATATAAGTATCATATATTCAACACTTTAACTGTTGAGGTTATTACAACAATATAAAGATATTTGATAAAATTATTCACAAAAAATAACTTCTGTTATATTATAATAAAATTTTAATCTATTTATAGAATTAAACGAATTAATACTTTAGTTAATACTTAAGTTATTTTTATTGTCTTAACATTATGTGTTCATTATTAGATTTGTTTGAATGAATTTTAATTTAATTTAAGTTGAGTTGATTAACACCAATCAATTATATTTATTTTTCAATTTAACATTTTGTGTTTAACAATATTAATGAAATTTAAGTACTATATTATCTAATATAGTCTATATTATGTCCATTGTATCCAAAAATGTTGAATACATGTCGTTTATTTTAACAGAAACATAAAATAATAATAATATATTAATTTAGACTATAAATTCTAGAAATAGTTTTGATTTTATTAAAGCATAAACATAATAATTGTTTTAAAAACCAAACCTATAGTTATCATATGTATATATGTTGTTTTTAAAAATTTTTAACGAAACTACTAGAAAAATAGTTATTAAAATATAATTTCTAAAAATCTAATGTAGAATACTTTAAAATTACCAAAACATAATATTTTAAACTAATGATTAGTAAAATACAAACAAAATAAAATAAATGTGATCATTAAAAACTTTCACAATTTATTAAAAAAGATATAAAGTTAATAGAGTATTGAATATATTACACAAAAAAATTAATTCAATAAATACAAGAAATATTATTCAAAAGTTTTTCTATTTTTATGATTTTGTTTTCAAATAATTTTATGAAAGAATTTGACTCATGAAATGTTATACAAAAAATCAAATGTCGTATCATTTTATGTACAAAATGAAAGCTTGTATTAATAAACTTGTTTTAAAAGCAAAATCTCGACATATATTAGAGGTATAATTCTTTAAATAATTTACTCAAAACACAACTTTGAAATAAAACTTTTTTTGTCAAAGAAATGGATGAATTATTTTTGCTATTCTTTTATATTACATTTCATTTTATTTTAAATTCCTCTCTTTTATGAGTTTTTATCGATTTTTTGGCAGTAAAATTGATTTATAAATCATAACTTTATTTTGAGAAATGAGTTGGTTTTAAATTAAATGAATTCTTATGTAAGTTAATACTAGATTTATTTTTTTATATAATATACTATTATAAGACATGTTTTTTAATATAACTTTATAAATAATATTTAAATAATTAAATTAAATACTATTTTGTTTTTGTTATTTATTTAAAAATCTGCATCTAAATAAGATAACTTTGAATTTATATTTATATTATAATTTAATTTATATTTTTAATTATAAGAAACTTAACTGTTGGCAAATTAGTTATTATATATTGTAAACATCTTATTTAATAATTACGTAAATTTTATGTATCATATTTTAATATTTATTTATTAAAAATCAATATTTCTATTAATATTTACAGAAAATTATATTTGTCGATTTCACTTAATAGTTTTCAAAAATTAATAATCTATAAATATTTATAATAAAAATCCAATCATCTTTTAGATAAATAAATATAAAGCGTAATATTTTTATAATAAAATTAACTATAAACTGTATTTTTGGATTTACATTATTTATAAATTAAACACTTAAATTATACTTTCATATTATATATATAATAACAATAATAATTTATTAAATTTAAAACACGTCATATTATTTAATTAGATTACATGTTAATTTTTATTAAAAACATTAAAAATTATTTAAATATTTAATAAGGTTGTTTTTAATGATAAATATATTAAAATTATATTTATGGATAGATTTAAATATTAACTACAGAGCAGTGCATAATTTATCTAATATTTTCATTTTGTTTACTAATAATTGTAAAGTATTTTGTTATTTATTATTATTTTACGTCAAACTGTAAATCTCACAACAAAATATAGTTTTTTAAGTTTTAAATTTTAATTATATTTAATAAGAATATTAATAGTTTTTTAGTTATAATTATAAAACACAAAATATAGAAATAAATTTTATTTATATTGATATTTAAAGACACAATAAGTTTAATTTAATAAATGCAATACTTGTATTTAAAGAATTAAAATAATCTATTTTAAATGCATTTTACTGAAATTATATTCAAATTATTTTTGCATTTTATATTTTTATTATCAAATTACAAAAAATGCTTAATACTACAATATAAAACTAAAAAATTTTATGGTAATCTCTGTTTACATCAAAATTTTCTCTACTTTTATGAGTTATATATATATATATATATATATATATATATATTAAAAAACAGTTTTTGTCTTTACTGAGTATCAAAAATTGTTTCAAAAAAATGAAAGCAACATAAAAAGTAAGCAAAAGATGTTACGTTTTGTTAAATTATATAAAGCCATAAGTAAAGTGTTAAGCCATAAACCCAAACATCCTTTTGTATAGTATTGTTGTTGTTGTCGATGATTATACTGTGCCATACATACACTGTATTGCATTATTACCTAATAGTTGGTAATTTCAATGTAATGATACCTATCAGAGTCCATCGCAACCATAAATCCAATTTTTTGTTGATTGCTATTCTCGTTATATTTTATTGGCTTTAACTCTATAAATGCCTTAAAACATAAACATAAAAAACTAGATGTTTAAAAAGCAAACTTTATAACTTTGAATTAAATAGCATTTTGTTTGACTGTTTAGCAAACAAGATAACGCTTTATATATTTTTTTATCAACAACTTAAGCTTTTTTGCTGTTTTTTTATAAACTAATGTCATGTCTATGTTTTTTAATACATGAATTAATTTGAATTTTATACGCATTTTCTTAAACGGAAATTAATTTTTTCTTATTTATTTTTGTAAAAAATAAAAAAACACAATTATTTGCTTAAATTGTTTTTATAATTTGTTAAAAACTAGAGGAGAAATACGATGAGTTTGAGCTGATGTTAAACGAGGCCTGTGCTCAACGTTTGGCCCAAAAGAACGGACCGCAAAACCAGATCCGCCGTTCCCGTCGAGAATTGGATCGATTGTGCAAAAAGACTGACTTTAATAAAGATGAGGTCAAACTGTTATATTGGGGATACAAGTGCGCCACTGCTATGTCTGATGGTATACTTAATGAGTCCATATTTAAAGACATATACTCTCAGTTCTTCCCACAGGCCGGTAAGTCATTTCAATATTATTAATACATGTATTTACGGTATTACTAAAATAATAATAATATGTCACACAAACATCAAACTGTTTAAAAAGATATGCTTACTTTCCCGTTACATGTCTTATCAATTTAGCCATTGATTAATACATTTACTAATATATATATAAAGTATATATAAGTATTTAATAAAAGATATCAACGTTACATGTTTTTATATAAAAGCTAGTGATTAAGTTTGTTTTCTTCTCAATTTAAACTATATTTTACGTCTGACATACTTTTAATGACAAAGATATTAAAGGTTTAATAGGAACAGGTGTTATATTCACAACTGACCGCACCTTTATGTTTTTTAGGGATACATTTGAGTGGGAAGTTAGTTAGACATTTAAAAGAAGTTACTGTCAAATATTGAATTAAATGTAAGAAAACTAAAATATTTGCTAAAACACAACCTAATTATTAGAGCACATCTTTATTCCATACCATTCCTATACTCTTAATGATCACTAAATCATTTAAATTATGTTTAAGTTAGAGACCGACTATTTGAAGATTAGAGTAATTCATTCACTGAATCAGTTCATAAAAAGACATCAAAATAGACTTTTTTGGGATAAAAATTTGATTTATAGCAGACTTTATATAATTGATTGCTTTTTCAGTGTTATTATTGAAACGGTTGTTGTGATGCAAACCAAAAGTGAATCAATAAATATCTATAGACTATAGACAGCCCTATTTAAGATGCAAGTCGTGATTTGCCTATTTTTAAAGCACTTTTTTTATCTACTGATTGATATCACAAAAGATTATCGATTTATTATGATTTTGTAATAAATATATTAATACAGTATAACTAAAGCTATAGATCTATGGATGAAATTAGGAATAAAAGTGTATGACATTTGTTGTATTGTGTGTTTCAGGTGACGCCAGTCTGTATGCACACTATGTGTTCAATGCTATGTTCAGTGACTCCCTGTCTAAAAACAACGGACAAATTACTTTCTCCGATTATGTCAGTGCTTTGGCACTGTTATGTAAGGGCTCAGTGATGGACAAAATACGATGGATATTCACATTATATGATATCAATAAAGACGGTACTGTTATGTTATGTTATGTTATGATTATATGATTTATATATCTATATTATAGACCGACGCTCTCCTAATCTGATGAGTTATTACCATCTTATGAATCATTGCTGACATTTAGCTTTTGTATAGTATTGGAGATTATTATTAAAACAAAGAGTTATATTTAAAATATTTATTTCTATTTATTTTATTTTTATTCACTGAATTTACCATAAAAATTATTTTTATATTAAAATTCAAATAATTTGCATATATAAAGAATATTTTATTTCATTGAAATGCTAACATTTTTAATTAATTAAAATTATTATACAGTACTGTAGTACTATATTATATAAAATTATAGTATTATTTTCAGTTGTGTTTAGTTAAAAATAATAGTTTTACTTTATAATATTATACAAAATTTATTATTTTCAATTTGCTACACGGTAATATTAACTTTCTACAGTTTTAATTTAAATGAAATAAATAGTATAAAAAGTATTATCTAAATATTAAATGTGTTGGAAAACCAGAATAAATAAAATATAACAAAATATATATCTTATTTTAAGTTAACATTGTTTTTATATGATATTATAAAAGAAAATGTTTTTAACAAAGTATAAGTTAGTACAGTATAATGACAATTAAGTTTGACATTTTAATCATCATAGAAAAAGTAGTCTTAAAAATTGTTTTATTTTGTTATTTAGAAAAAATCAAATTAATTATAGCATCATTGATAATCACAATAGCAAACAATTAAATGTTTCGGTAAATTAGATTAACGAGACTTTGTGTAGCTTTCAATTATGCTATTAATAAATTGTATTAATTATTGCAATTGTTTATAACATAATAAAAAGTTTGATTTTTATTGTTAATTGTAGATTTGGAAAATTCTAATAAATATTTCTTTAAAAATATATAAATTGTTATAACTATAGGTCGTATAACATTAGATGAATTAAATCAAATATCTGTCGCCATATACGCGCTGTTGGGTTGTAATGTTTCGCCGGCCTATGACTTAAAGACATGTGAAGAGCACGCAAACCAAGTGTTTGAAAGACTGGACGTCTATAAGAATGGTTACATCACTTATGACCAGTTTATGGACATTTGTACTAAAGTAGGCTTTTTATTTGCAATTCAATGATTTTGATTTAAATTCAATTGTCTATTGAATATATTATATATTTATATATTGTGTAAATAGAAACTGAATTCACTTAAATGTGATATATTGTATGCCATTATTGCTTTAAATTTAATATTCTGTTCTCAAATTTATTTCATTTACAATATTACTGTAAATAGGATGAGACAATCATAAGATCGATGCAATTCCTCGACACAACTGGTTTACAATGATTTTAATGGATGGCATTCAATGTCTATGGATTTCTATGAAATTATCATCATTTGTGACCATTTCAATGAATACACTCAGACTTCTCAGTCATCTCTTTATTGAATTCAAAATATTATTATAATTTTAATATCCAATACTCTGTTATAACAGTATATGACATAGAGATTAACAATAACAACAAATGACATAACATTTGACTCTTTCTTAATGTTGTTAATACATTAAACCAACGATATCTCATTTAAACAATTCCGACAAAAACAAAATGTTTATAAATATCAAATAAAATGATTAATTAAAATATATGAATGAAAATATAGAAAACAAAAAGACATGATTTTCAAAATATTTTAGTTAATACATCTCTAATGACTAAAGAATTCTATAGTTATTTATTACTTAGAATTTTATTAAATATAAAAATATATATAATATAAAAATAATTTTTATAAATACTTTGCAATTAAATAAAGTATATAACATTAATGTTTATAAATACAATATATGAAATATCAAATGATGTGCTCAAATATTGATACAAATATTGAAAGTGGTGTCATAGTTGAGTAAAACTTAATTTTTGAAATTTAATTTATTATTATTACTTTAATTAGTTAGCATTTGTCCTTAGAATAAAAGCGTGAGATGTGTTGAATTTATTTAAATTATATATTAATGACAAATATTGTTATTAATTGTGATGTTTATTCTTAACGTTTCCAATATTTTATTATTAAATTATTAATTTTTAAAAACTGAATACTTAAATGATAAGGTTTTGATATAAATTTATCAAAAATGTGGAAAATTATAGGATAAGAATTATCTCTTATTTTGATAGTTTATATTTATCATAACTATACCATTAGTTATTATAAATGACGGTATACTCTTTTACTGGTATTATTAAAATAATATATACATATTATAATATTGAAGTATTCATACCGTATTATGATTATTATATTAAGTATATTAATAATAGAGTTGTAAAAATATGTAAGATATAATGAGTTATATTTTGTCAAAATATAAAATTAACGAATATTTACAAAATTTGACTTATCATTTGTGTCAAAATATATTTATACTTATTAACATTATATATAAAGTTATAATTATAATATATAATCTATTGATAAAAATTATATTTAGAGTTAAAATATTTTGTTAATATATATGTATTTATAATAAATATATAAATTAATTAATTTTATTAATTATGTAATATAGTCTATAATGATCTGTATGTGGATCTAAATGTTTGAGGTTAAATCTCATTATAAAAGTAAATTATAAAACTTAATTACGATATATATTATAATGTTTATGATTATATGTATACAAATAAAATTGATATAAAACATAATTAAATGTTATGATTATTCAAATCAAAGTAAGTAACTACTGTATATACCAACAAATAGATACAGTAGAATTTAATTAAAATAATAATAATAAACGATAATAATTTTTTCGTGGTTATTTAACTATAAATTCTGGTTCAACTTAAAATAATGTATTTTAAATATAATAAATAAATTTATATAGCAAACTGCATCTAAACAATCATATTATATCTAAATTAAAGTTTAATTAGTATTAAATAAAATATTAAGTTATTTTGTTTAAATTATTTAAAAATAACTAAAACTAAATATATTAATACTATTTACTTACATAGTATTGATAAATAGGAAGTGTAGATTTTTAAAAATTTTATGTCAAAAAGTGATCCCTGAACTTGACTTTAATTTTGTTTGTTTGTGTAAAAAATTACATTTCATGAGTTATTTGTCAACAAAACTCATAAATATATATTTGCTAATCATCTTTGATAAAATCAAACAATCTTTATATGTTTACCTTATTCATTAAAATGCTAAAAATTGAGGTTTCATTGCATAACTTAGCATTTAGTTAAATAATTAAAGAAAAATAAATTTTTTATGTTAATTCAATAATTATTTTAAACTGTACAGTGCAAGTACATCAGTATATATATATAATAATAATATTTTTTTAATCTAATCATTTATAGACCACACAATTAATGAATTATTAAAATTTTACTTAATAAAATTAAACATAAAAATATAAAATTAAAGCTAATAAGTTAATGACAAGAAAACGTATAAAACTTAGATATAATATAAAAACAATATATTACATAAATTAAGTGCATATATAACATATATCAGATATGTTTTTTTAAATGTCAAATATTAAATAATATATTAGCTATAAATAATGTATAAATTGTATATACAGTACTTTGCATAAATATCAAACTATTTATTAAATCTTAATTTAAATGACAGTAATAAGTTAGTTGTTAATTAATTAATTAATATGATATACTGTATATATTATGCTTAATACAGTATTATAGTTGATAAGTGTCTTATCATATCATATCATATAATATCGGATATATTTTTATTAGACATCAAATTTATACATAAAAACAGCGAATAGATTTGAAATTAAGTTTAATTAATAATTTGTGAAACAAATGACTTGAAATGAATATTCATATAATCAGGAAAATGATTTTATGACTCATATGAAAGGTATTATCATATGTATAGTTAGGGCTAATGTATTGTAATGAATAGCAGAGATTGATCCGGTTTTTTGTGGCCAACAAACCCATACAAACCTTTTCTCTATTCATTTAGAAAATACATTTGAGAAGCACAGGGAGGGTATGAGCCGTATAAGTGCAGAGTATGCCATCCATCGGAGTGTCAATTCATGAACAAAGTTGTTATTCTAGTGCTTAGAAAACCATAGACTTTACGCTAGAGTTGTATTTCAAATTGAATGCAATGTTATTATCGATAAAAGTAATGCATTTATCGCTATAGAGATTGAGTGCAAACACTAAATAACGCCAACAATGGCTGCATAGGCTGTGGATGTACTCACTTGAAGATACTATTTAAAAGACAGTGTCCATCAAAAGTGATCAACCATTTGATATAAACAAATAGACAAACCATAAGTGAATGAATCCAATCTATCAGCCAATTGATGGACCAATTAATAGACAAACATATGATTTTTACTGTGCAATCAATGAATGCTTTTTTTGATTAATGTTTTCAATGTTTTATATGACAACTAATATGATATGTAATTCAATGAATCCATTGATTAGTTAATTAAATGATTTAAAGCTTGTATTTAAACATTTGTTTTTCTTGACTGTGTTTGCAATTAACACATCATTTGATTATTTGAAACAAAAATTGTCCGCAACTGAAATGCCGATCTAAATGTCGGCTCAATATTGTCAGTGTCTTCATTGGTCACTCCATTGTGACAGTTGATGATAATTGATGTGTTGAAGTGGTTGTCTGTCTCATACAATGACACTGGACTTGGGTATCGACGTGTCTTCACTACCGACCGATGTCCGCGAAAAGTTGGCCGAACTCGAGCTCGAGTTGTCCGAAGGTATGTCCAGTGAATTGCATTCATATTATTCATACAGTATTCATATCAAACCAATTGTCTTATAATTACATATGTTTTTTGTTCAATAACTTTAATACACTTCAATATAACTTATAATAAGTCATTGATTTTAATCAAATCATATGTTTTGCTAATTTGTTTGCATTTATTTCATTTAATGTAAATGCATTTCAATTGCAAACGAGTCACTAATACTATTGTTAATTATGCGTTATATTTATATTAATATTAATAAATGTTTGTTTTATAGTTTTAATCGCTTTTTAAATATTTTTTAAAAAAGATTTTAATCACTTAACATGCATTTTGTAATGTTTTTGTGTTAATTTAATTAAAGTATTAAAATAATACGCTATAAGTATATCATATCATATGAGAGCTTACTTAAGATGTTTATCACAACTAAATTAACAAATGTTTCGTTTAATTACTAATTATTAAATTCATGAAAAACTTATTTTTGTTTACTTCATAATAAAATATTTTTAGTGGTATTTGTTAACTAACATTTTATATTGTGATATTTTTTTTATTAATACAAATAATAATAATAATACTTATTTATAATATCAAATGTAATAATTATAAATTCAATAAAAATAACAATATATTATGTATGTCATTTAAATATTTTTAAAATTTTTAAATGCTATTTTTGAACAAAATATATTGTATAAATCATAACACATAAAATAAATAAATAAATATTTAGTTTAATAAAACAAAACAAAAAATGTATTGAATTTATTTAATATGATATTACATAAATGAGAATAAATATGTTATTAATGATTTATAAAAATATTGAAAATTAAATTTGCTGACAACATATAAATTTATATATATTTGTAATATTTATGTGAATATATCTAAATATTTATAATAAATGCTAAGAAATAAAGTAAACAGATATAAGAGTAAAGCAGTTATAAAGCAGTTTTCAAAATAATTGGTCTCAAGTTTTTTCTTTTGCTTTCAATTGAGTGCCAAATAAGTTATAAAAACTAAAAAATAAAAATCCTTACCAATGAATCACCGGCTCTTACATTCAATGCTTATTGCCGTAGTGTTTATTGTCAATAGAGTTTAAAGCCTCAGTCAATACCTGTACCTGTTTGGCTACCGGTCCCCTCAATCTGTCAGTGTATATATTTATACTGATAATAACGAGTGAACGCCTGTGTTGTCATACATTTTATTTAATATACCAATTATTACAACACAATGTTATTCAACGATTTTATTTAAATATATAAATGTATTTCCCATTAATAGTTTTCCTCAATTTAACAATTTTAATGCAAACTATTTATATAATTTTTCAATCTAATATAAAATCATGAATATAAATACTTTTGTAAAACATCATAGTGAGTAAATTATAAGATAATATTAGTTATTTTTATTTATTTAAATTAACATTATACTGTATTGTACTTATAAATTTCAAATTAATTGTATTTGAGATAAAATCTTTTATTTATTTTTTAATCGGTTAGTTTGCAATTAATACATGTTTTTTATATTATTGCTAACATATATGTATTTTATGGTACAATTAATTGATTTAATGGACTGCAAATTGCATTCATATATAATTAGATACTTTTTCAATACCAATGAATATCAAATTTCATGTGAATTTGTTTTGTTTACAAATGAATTAAATATGTATATAATATATTGAATTTGAATTAAATATTGACTTTTATTGTATATTTAGCGATACAAGAGTTTTAGATTTTTTGATAGACATATCATAGTGTAGTTTGAAATATGATGACCGCACTTGACCTCAATTGACGGTTTATTTTTGTTAAATACTATATATTTATATATAATTTATATGTATTATTTTAATGAAATTCAATTTAAGTTAATACATTACATATTGAATTTAATGTATAATAAAACATTAAATTTTGTTACATTAAACTCTTGTGTAACTAATAATTTAAGATTTGTGTTAATAATATGTGAGATTGCAATATGAAAAATAAATTTAAAACAATTACTTAATTTAAATAAATTTGATTCAATATGCTTTAAAACATGATTATAGTATTTATAAGATTATAGTTTATTAAAACTGATTGCATTAACAGTATAATAGGAAATTGTATAGTTGTCAGTATAATTGTCATTATTATTAAGATTTGTTATTATACAGTCATTTATCAGATTATGTAGTCATATAAAGTAGTAATAGGGATGTAGTGGACGGGTGTGTCGTGAATGTTATCGACACTTTCTAGAAATATTTTTGTCATTTTATAAATATATAAAATAATTTTATAAATGTACTCTACAATTATACTTTATAATGTTTTATTATAATATGAAAGTCAACTGCAATGTTATTGTCCTGAAAAAGCATTTGAGTGAAGCGTTTTTCAGCACTTGAAGTGTGCCTTTAAAACACATTACGATATGATTTACTCTAAAATAAGTAGTGTTTGTGTGCCTAACAGTAGTTCATTATACAGTACCAGTTGTTGCCTCCAATGTTGATACAAATAGCATATCATTTGTTGGGACAGTCAGTCACTTTCTCTCATTGATTGTACTATCATTGTGTTAGCACAGGGATGTATCTGCTTTTATATACTGTATTTGTCAATGAGATTGTGTACAGAATTTCGATTAGAAATTAATAGATTTTTATTCAATTATCCGGTATTTACATGAATGGATGAATTGATAGCTTATAAATCAAACAATTTATTGTTCACAACAGTATCACAATATATATATAAATAAATGATAAGCAGAGCACAGTTATCACACTTACATTTTCTTGAGAATACTATTAGGTTTATATATAGGCAGACATTCCCTTATGAAGTAATTGGTGTAGGAATTGGACTTTTCCTGTGCCTCAGTTAAACCTCCCATAACTTTGTGGGCGGTTTGCTTGACTTCCTTTACTGCTTCTCCGGTCGATTCCATCAACTCTTATGTTTGTCTCCCTCTCATTACGGGTTGTCTTAATTCATATGTATTTAAAGTATGAGTCGCATAACAAATGATACCACAGTTTAAATATAACACCAGTTTTTATCCACTGTTTATATCCAATGTTTTTAGTAGAGTTTATTTTATTTTGAAATGAAAAAATACTTTTTTTTCTTAGTTTATAGTTTTGTTAACGACTTATCGATTTTGTAGCTAATAAGATAAAAATAGTCAATTTTGATGCATAAGTATTAAAAGATTATATAAAAAGTTTTTATTTGCCGACGTTTTTCTAGTAAATCTGTTTAAAATCATGTTTTTTGATTAATTGATTTATGATTTTATGTTTATCCTATGTTTTGAGTGGTTATGAAAATAATTTGTTTTTAACATATGATTGGGGTATAAAAAAAATTGGTGTATATAGTGATTAAAAGCACTCGTTTCATAACCCAATTTCATGTCCACTTTATTTGTAATGTTGTTTGCCATCGGAATATAATATTGAGTGCATTGAACGTAATAAACGGCAAATTTATATGTTTTTAAAAACAACTGTTATGTTATGTTTTAGTTATATATATATACAAAAACCCATTTATGGCGACTAAAAAATAAGGAAACAAATGATTGCATTTAATTCAGATATCGCTTTGAATATAATTTTCTGGCGACACTTGCGACAGACCTCTTCACACCATTGAAATCATTGAAATTGTGATATTAACTGAAAAACTAGTTGTCATTTATTTTTATTTAAAAATTTGTTTAAATTTGTAAGCCATTTGAGTGAATACATATGCAATACATAAACATTAACTCATCCCTTGAGTTTGCATCTCATTTGCAACTCCTGCTCCTCGACTCCACACAACTATTGAATATATAAACATAAAAAGTGCTAAAATTGTCTTAAAGTGAGAGATCGACCAAAAAAGTTGACTTAACTTTTTTTTAGTGTATTATAAAGTGTGTTGACTCTCTTATTACTTGCAGTGTCTATAATTTACAGTACTTACACATATGTATAGTTTAATTCAAACACAACAACAAACTGACTAAATAATTACTATAATGAATGAAACAATTGAATTGATGGTTATAATGAAGTAATCAATGGTATGTCTGCTAAAATGTCTGTACGATTTCCAAGAAATGAGTTGAGTTGTGGTAATCGCGATGTCTTATATTGTCAATCATCTGAATCCCAACAACGATCCGTACATTCATCTCATTTATACCCTAAAGCTAATGCAACCAAACAGAGTCACAACTATCGACAAAATGAATCAATTGATGTAAAAGAGAGACAAAGACTAAGACATCGGAAAGTAAGCAATCAATACAGCAATTCATCTGTAATTCATTCAAATGTAGATCAAAACAATTCACAATTTTTTAAAACTCGTGTTAATAATAATCATGAGAAAGGATTCACAAAGAGATTGACTGTAAATATGAGACAATCGCCAGCAGTGAAGGAGAGACAACATCTGGAGCACATCTGGTCGGACCTACCATTGAATGTATGGCAGGCATTAATGACCAAAGAGTCATCCACTGCTCCGCTCTGTGGTCACGACACCTCATCTGACACATCATCGGCGGAAGTGTTGTCATCACTTCACTCATCATCTGATTTTGACTCAACCTCTTCAGATGACGACCTTTTTCTATTGACAGGTCTGTCCTAAGCAGTCAATTAATGACAAATAACACAACTATTAAAACCATATGATATAAACTATTCATTTTTATTATACGGCTTATATTATTAATTTTATATACAAAATGTTAATATATATTCAATTCAAACGTTTGCTTTCTTTTTTAAATATAATATATATTTGTATATTATATAAAACAATTCATTACAAATGTTGAATGAAAGTTCAATTTTTATTGAATAAATAAAAATTGATAAGCGCTTACATAACACCTAAAAACAATTGTTATGAATTATTAAATATGTAATACTTGTATAAAATACAACTACATGTACTGTATATGCAGTATATAATAGATTGGTTAATATAATTTAATTTCATTATATCCATAAAATTTTATCGAAACTCAATTTATCACAATTACTTTTTTAAAATTATGATTTAGATCAAATATATTGGATAAAATTATTTTATACAGTATTAAATGAGTTTGGATTATATGATTACTACTGAATAAATTTTATTTGACAAAATTACAGACAATATACTAATTGTATAAATTATTTAAAGTATTGAGTAATAATATGCTGTTTCAATATTAAAATGTCATTCAAAGATACATATTTTTGAATTAATCATTTTAACAGTATTTATTAAGTAATAATGTATATAAGTGTTATCAAATTATTTTTAATATTTTTCAACATTTTTCAGTGATTCGTTTGTTTTTGAGATAATGAAATGCAATAATACTTATATAATAGTTGTTTTTATTTAACAATTTTGACGATTGGTTTGATAGCAATGTTTGAAATATTAATTAACAATAATATTCAATATCATTAAATGTATTTTACATAAAATTGTTTATTCATATACTGTACTGTATAGTAGTTTTAATAATAGAAAATTATTAATAGTAATGTTAAATATTCATCTAAAAGTAAAATATTTGTTCAAACTCTTCAATACATTGCTAACACTTAACAATTTGTGATGAATTAATTTGAGAGATAATAATAATAAATATTATTAAATGATTTAAAGGCGACATCACTCAGAAGGGATACGAGAAGAAGAGATCGCGACTATTGGCTCCCTATATAACGTGCCATCAAAATCAGTCAGGTATGGCCTATAGTTAGACATTTCAATACTATATTTAACAGTTTTAATCAGTAATATTAAATAGATATGTTTGTTACTAAAAATAATTGTTAAGATCACTATTTTGTTACTGATTATCATAATATAGGCGCTGCCAGTCCTTCAACACGTGCCAAGAGAAGAGCTCATAGGAGACTAACACGACATGAGAGTCGATACCATTCCGGTATGTCATCTCATAACCATTAAAATCATATCCATTAACCGATTATTATTATTATTATATAACACTGTTTTATAATGATTATAAAAATAGTTAAAAATAATTAAAGAATATCTTGTTAGTCATTAAAAACAGTATTTATTTCACTTTTTAATTTTAAAGACCGGTTCCATACATAAGTTTTAGAGACAATTCTCACACAAATAAAAATTTGTCTCATGTTTTCAATTTATGAGTTTATTTTAGACGACACTAACTATAAAGTTAGTGATAATTTTTCACTTTTATTGAACTTATGATTTGAACAAATGATTAGAGAAATGTCATTAAACTAGTATAACATTAATTAAATTTGTTTTCATTTTAATATTACTATAGTTTATTTTTTTAATGAATTAATTTTACATTTTTATTAGTTTTCACTTAATTTGGAAATTATCTTTTAAATCACGTATTTTATATTATATTATAAATAAAATATTTTATAGTTATTTCTTTTCTCAAATCTCTAAATATAAATATCAATCACACATTTAAACAAATGCTTAGATAATTATAATAAAAATAATAATATCGATATCTTATAGATTTTTATAGATAACAAACTATTTTTATAAGTAATTTAAACTAATGTTAGAATAAATAATAATTTGATGCAGAGGTGAGACAAGAGGCGGTACAGCAGGCGTTGGCTGCTATGCAAAAGGTATGTAAATTAGGACTCGTGTCTTATCTTAACAATTAATCTGATGGATAAAAATGCATAATAGAAACCAAAACCATCATTACCTATGCCGTCAAAGCGGACATCAGTGATGGCCACTTCCCCAAACCGGGACCGCAAACGGGTTACCGATTCTTCATCAGATGACGATAGTATTCTTAATGATAGCAGCAGTACTACTCCAGAACACGACAAGAATTTGCGACCATTTTCTGTCGGCCAATCGATTACTTCATCTGATACATCAAACACGTCGTCGCCGGCACACGAAGTACAGGTGCCACCGCCAAGAATTATAGCCGTTCAGGAACATAGCAATGCTTTGGCTGCTCAACAAATCAGTCGTAACCAACATCGCCGCAAACACCAACACTCACAGCCACCGTTACCTCCACATCAACAACAGATTCTTAAACAACAACTTATAAATGCCCGCATTTCCCGTGAAAACGGCAGTTCTAACAATACTAACAACAGCAACAATAGTAGTAACAACAGCAACAAAAACAACATCAATAGCAATATAAATAACATGAATATTAACAATAGTAACAATAGAGATAATTTACCGATTAATGATTACGCCAATAATATTCCGCCCACTCGGCCCGAGAGAATCAGTTCCCGAACTGACAGCGGAATCGTTAACTTAGCGGATGTCATGCAAAACCTGACGCCTTCGACTACATATAACGCTCAGCCAGACGTCACCTCAAATGCACAATCAATCCGAGATTCGCGAGACTTGCAATCAGGTAATTATAAACAACAAAAAAAACAAAGTTTACAATAAATTTCACAAAATAACTGTTAATAAGATTTCTCTATTTATTTTGAAGGTCTCGATACTTATAGTACAGGAACGGGAACTGGAAGATGGAAAGTATCTGCAAAAATACAACAACTTCTTAATACACTTAAAAGACCTAAACGACGACCACTTCCTGAGTACTATGTGGATGACGAGACAGATCTTGAAATAGCAGCTAATCAGTTGGACCCGACAGCTCCCAAGCCTGAGGGCAGTACAATGATGCCAGCAATTGGTGAGCAACTGATGGTCCCAGGTGGTCTTCCCAAAACATTAGAAGCAGCTCTTCATAGATATGGTTCGGCAACGTTTAAAGCACCCGCAGCCACAGTACTGGATACTAATAGCAAAATAAGTCCACCTTTAACTTATGGCAAACTTTTAAGCCGTTCCCGAAAAATAGCATACAATTTATTAAACAAAATAGGAAACAAAGGAGAATTGAGTATAAAACCTGGTGATAGAGTGGCTCTAATATTTCCAAACAATGATCCAATTGGTTTCATGAGTGCATACTATGGCTGTTTGACTGCTGGTGTCGTTCCTGTGGCTATTGAAGTACCCCTCACTAGACGTGATGCAGGTTCACAGCAAATAGGCTTTCTATTGGGAAGTTGTAATGTAGCGTTTGCTTTAACATCCGAGGCCTGTCATAAAGGTCTTCCTAAAACAGCAACGGGAGAAATACATACGTTTAAGGGTTGGCCTAAACTTAGTTGGCTTATAATTGATACATTAGGTAAACCACCAAAAGATTGGTCACCGCCTTCACGGATCTCAGAAGAAGCGCCCGCTTATATTGAATATAGTGTTGATAGAGACGGAGCTATGAAAGGAGTGACAGTTTCACGAAATGCAATGATATCTCATTGTCGGGCTCTCACCGGTTCCTGTAATTACACTGAAGGAGAGATTATGATTTGTGTTTTGGATTTTAAACGTGAAGTCGGTTTATGGCATTCAATACTTTGTAGTGTTTTGAATGGTATGCACGTTATATTCATTCCGTACGCACTGATGAAAATAAATCCGGCCTCTTGGATGTTAGTCATCACTAAATACAAAGCTTCAGTAGCTATATGTAAATCACGTGATCTTCACTGGGGTTTATTGGCCACAAAAGACCATAAAGATGTCAATCTTTCTTCTCTGCGAATGCTTTTGGTTGCCGACGGCTCTAATCCATGGTCTCTCTCATCCTGTGATCAATTTCTAAACGTATTTCATAGTAGAGGCCTAAGAGTGGAGGCAATGTGTCCCTGTGCTGTATCAGCCGAAGCACTTACTATCTCTGTTAGAAGGTTTGTTCAATTTTTCATTTGTTTTTATTATGCCTATCCTTATTTAGCAACAGTTTATATATTTATTTTCTCAATTTGTCAAAACAAAATGTTTAAAAAATTAATAAAAACAATAGATTGGATTAGAATTTATAGAAAAGTATTAAAATGTATTGTTTTAATTTATTAAGGCCGGGCAGAACAGGGATTGGCTCCACTGGAAGGGGTGTTCTGTCTATGTCTGCACTTAGCTATGGTGTTATTCGAGTGGATCAAGAAAACAGTTTGACATCATTAACATTACAAGATTGTGGTCATGTCTTACCCGGAGGTAAATTGCAATAATATTTCTTTTAAAATCACTTAAAGGAAATAAAAATTTTAAAACAATATATATATTTATTTATAATTTTGATAGCAATCGCGGCTGTGGTTAAAATCAATGGTCCGCCACACCTCTGTAAGACTGATGAAGTCGGAGAGATTTGTTTGAGCACAACAGCTGCCGGTTCTAACTATTGGGGACTTCAAGGACTCACAAACAGTATATTCCGTATGCAACCACTTAACTCAGATGGTCATCCATTCAGTGAGCAAACATTTGTGAGAACCGGCTTACTTGGCTTTATGGGACCCGGTGCTCTTGTTTTTGTTTGCGGTACCAGAGATGGTGTAATGACTGTGAGTGGCCGTAAGCATAACACCGATGATTTGATTGCYACTGTGTTGGCCGTCGAACCAATGAAATTTGTATACCGGGGAAGGATTGCCATCTTTGCAATCAAAGTTTTAAGAGACGAAAGAATTTGTGTTATTGCAGAACAACGTCCCGATTGTACTGAAGAAGAGAGCTTCCAATGGATGAGTAGAGTTCTTCAAGCGGTTGATAGTATACATCAGGTGGGTATTTATTGTCTTGCATTAGTGCCACCAAATTGTTTGCCCAAAACACCATTGGGTGGAATCCATTTGTCAGAAGTAAAGCGTCGATTCCTTGAAGGAGCGCTACATCCGGCAAATGTGCTCATGTGTCCGCACACTTGCGTCACAAATCTGCCCAAACCACGAGAGGTACACACAGAAATAGGTCCGGCTTCTGTTATGGTCGGTAATATTGTTCAGGGAGTACGGCTTGCAGTCGCACAGGGAAGGGATGTCGGATCAATAGAAGAGGATTCAGACACAACTAGAAAATATCAATTTATTTCAGAGATATTAAAGTGGAGAGCGACCACTTCTCCCGACCATAATATCCATACACTCCTCAACTCGAAAGGCGGTGAAACTCAAACCCTTTCCTGTTCACAGCTTTTTAAAAGAGCTGAAAGGGTAGCCTGTCTTCTATTAGAGAGAGGAAAGTTGAATACCGGCGATCACGTAGCACTCATATATTCGCCGGGAATTGATCTTATATGTGCTTTTTATGGGTGTCTATTCATTGGTGTTGTTCCGGTCACAATAAGACCACCACATCCGCAAAATTTGCAAACAACACTGCCAACTGTCCGCATGATTGTTGACGTATCAAAGTCGGTGCTAATATTGTCAACCGGACCTGTCATTAAACTGCTTAAATCAAAAGAAGCCGGTAATGTGGTTGACATCAAGGGTTGGCCACAAACTATTGATACCGATGATTTGCCTAAGAAAAAATTGACGAGTATTTATAGGGCGCCCACACCCGAAATGATAGCTTATCTTGATTTCAGTGTTAGCACAACAGGAATGTTAGCAGGTATTAAGATATCACACGCTGCCGCCACATCCCTGTGCCGCAGTATGAAACTCGCCTGTGAATTATACCCCTCGCGTCACATCGCTCTCTGTCTCGATTCCTATTCTGGACTCGGGTTTGTCTTATGGTGTCTCAATAGTGTATATTCTGGTCATCACTCAATACTTATTCCTCCTTCAGAAGTAGAGCTCAATCCAAGTCTGTGGTTAACTACAGTCTCTCAATACAAAGTTCGCGATACGTTCTGCTCATACGGGGTTATGGAGCTCTGCACTAAAGGGTTGGGCTCTTCAATCCAACAAATGAAGGTTTGTTAGTTAAACATTATATACGGTATATTTTGGATAAATTAATTAATTTTTATGTTTTAACAGCAAAGAGGTGTTAACCTAAGCTGTGTTCGCACATGTGTTGTGGTCGCCGAAGAGAGACCACGAGTATCGCTCACAAATTCTTTCACTAAATTATTTCAAAGTTTGGGTCTTTCAGCGCGTGCTGTCAGCACATCATTTGGCTGTAGAGTCAATGTTGCCCTTTGCCTACAGGGAGCCTCCAGTCCTGACCCAACCACTGTGTATGTCGATACCCGTGCGCTACGTAATGATAGGGTCACACTTGTAGAGCGCGGGGCACCGCACAGCCTCTGTTTAACAGAGTCCGGAAAGTTATTGCCCGGAGTTAAAGTAGTGATCGCAAACCCAGAAACCAAAGGCCATTGCGGTGATTCAAATCTTGGAGAGGTATTCATTATTATCATTGTTTTCCTATTATTGACAGTTTTGAGCTAATTATCAATCAATACTATAGATTTGGGTTCAATCACCGCAAAACTCAAGCGGCTATTTCACCATTTATGGTGACGATTCACTACACAACGATCACTTTAATGCAAGACTTATTACCGGTGACTCGAGTCAATCATATGCTCGAACGGGTTATTTAGGTTTCTTGAGGCGAACCGAATCGGTTCAGGCAGACGGAGGTATGGATCCATTAAATTGAATCAATTAAATATATCAACTAATTATTATAATTTAATGGCAGAACTGCACGACGCTATCTTTGTTGTCGGATCTCTCGATGAAACCATTACTCTAAGAGGTCTTCGATATCATCCAATTGATATTGAGAACAGTGTTATGAGATCTCATAAGAAAATATCCGAATGGTTAGTATTGTCAACTCTAGACTAATCTTTAAATCATTGTTAAACTTTTTTCTGTCATCAGTGCTGTGTTCACGTGGACTAACCTATTAGTAGTAGTCGTTGAATTAGATGGTCAAGAAAATGAAGCGTTAGATTTGGTACCATTAGTGACTAATGTTGTTTTAGAGGAACACCACTTAATAGTTGGTGTTGTAGTTGTTGTCGATCCCGGAGTGGTTCCAATCAACTCGAGAGGAGAAAAACAACGAATGCATTTGCGCGACGGCTTTCTCGCAGGTTTGCTATATATAAGATAGTGTTGTGTACTGTAATTACCGATAATTATTTAAATAATTATTTATTGCATTCATTTTGCAGACCAATTGGATCCGATTTATGTGGCGTACAATATGTGATGAGTTTTTGTTATATTTTGTTTTTTATTACATTTATATCGACATTCCATTGCTTTTTAGCGATCGTTATATTCATTGAAATGAATATTAATAGCACTTCAAGTATTGATATGTTTTTTTGCGTCAATCAAATCATGATTTGAGAAATCAATTGATTGTATTGTATATTAGGACTAAATATTAGAGTGTATTGCAAATCAGTTTAATAATTGTTTTTAATATGACTTTTTGAATATTAATTAATGACTACAAAACTGCTTTTATTATATATATATATATAAATAATGCTTTTAACTTAAACACGAATTTCAATAAAGTTTTATTTAAGAATCACTTGTTTTGATCTTTAACATAAACATCGATATTATTGGTCAAACTTAATATCGGGTAAAGAGTTTTATCTGTCATTGATTTGGTTGCCAATGATAACGTATGACACAAATGAGCGCGAAGTGTATCCAAATTAGGTAAACGATTGTACTCTTTAAGATCGTCGAGACTCATAAACCGGTCGTTAATAATGGCAGCCATAAGAACAAGTTGTGGACATTTTTTAGTTAATTTCAATAGTTTTGAAACTTGGGGTTTGGCTGAGAAGAGCACAGTTACGTCTTGTTGTCGACACAAATGTAACGCTGATTCCCATTTCGTACCGATCAATGCTAACTCAGCGATATCTGGATTATAATACCGCAAATACATGTCCTGGTGTTCAAACATATTTTTGACGCCTTTCTTCTCTCTATTGGTCATCAAGTTTTGATGAAAGAAACAAATCATATGCGAAGTCTTCAACTCGTGTTTCATATCATTAGCCAATAGTTTGTCTAACGGATGAATCCCACGATCTTCTATTGGCGTCAAATTAAAGCACTTCTCAGACGGCAATCGTTTATCTTTCATTAATATCGGTTCACAGACGGCCAACATTTGTTTGCGCCGAAAGTGTACTTCAGTGTACTTTCGCGGTTGACTTGTTTGATTGGCGCGTGAGGTCAACACGTATACACCAAATGGCACTAAAAAATAACAATAAAATTAGTATTAAAATAAAGTCAAATCAATTGGTTACTAAATATGATTAAATATACCATTGATCTTGAGTTTGCTTTTACCCAATGAGTGCATAAATGGCCATAATTTCGGTACCAATCGGGTCATTATAATCAATGATATGTCATATGTTTTGTCAAAACAATACAATTTAATTGTTAATAAAAACTTGATTTAAATGCCGACAAACAGTACATCAATAGAGTTCTCCATTCATTCAATGCTTTCCATTCATATTATAAACATTTACAGTATATAAACATAGATTGTGTTTGACGTCATTGAGTTTGAGTACTGTATAAGTGTTTTGATTGGTTTATATCTAAATATATAGAACTCTATTATTGATATGTTGTGTATGTATTGTCTATGTATTGCTGTCTTTGTTGGGCATTGAGTGCGAGTCAGTGCTCATCACAATCACTGATTGTCCACACATTTCAAGACAACTGTGATTATAGTGATTGCACTCAACAACAACACAACAACAACACAACAACAACACAACAATCAATACACCAATGATTGTCACCAATAGATGATTCAATTGTCTCACATTTGACCCATTGATCAAATGGTCATTCAATTGTCAAATAATAACATTTAAATTATAAATTTATCCTATAATTAGTTTATCCATTAGTTTTAATATTTATTGTTTAATCAAATTATATTAAGTTTTGCAACAAATTGTTTATTAAAATTGATTTGTAATTTGCATATAAAAAGTGATTGTTTTGTAATTGAATTGTCTTTATTAGACATTGTTATCGATAGTGATCTTCATTGACAATTAGACTCTACTGTCATTTAATTGTTTGGTTTGATATTTAACCTCAATTGATATGATTGACATTCATTGATGTAAATGCCATTCAAAGTGATGAGATTTTTCTTATGATATGATGACTAAAGTAAGCCAATGAAGGCAAGACATAGTGAATCAATTAATTGGTGATACAAGACATAGAGGTATTGTTTTTGGACACTATGTTTGACTGGGAAGAAGGCGATCGGTTTTCGTTTGAAGACTCGGAACGATTTGAAGAAGACTCGTTGTGTTCKTGGATGAGTGAGCCCGAGTCGGTATGTAATAACTGGAGGGGATGGAAGAAGTCTTATAATACACCCATTGGATTCAATGTTAACAATAATAGTGCCAACAATCAACTCAATGGTAATAAGCGTAAAGGTTGGCAAACATTGAGTACTTTTTTGTGTAATTTTGTTTCTTTGCTATTATCTAATGCTTTGTAAGTTGTAATGCATTTACCATTATTTTATACTTGTCTTGTGTTATGCAAACACTCATGGATTTTATAGGCTCTGTGAGTCCTATAAGTCCCTCTTATCAGAGTCTAAGCTGACCTAAAACCTAGTATAACCTCACATAAGATTTTATTGAAGAGACTCTCGCATATCATCAATGTTTAGTTAATCTAATATTTGCTTTTATTTTTCAAAAGTGCATTAAATAACATTAGTTACTTATATGCGATATTATATTATATAAAATGCTATTTATGTTTAAGAAAAAACAAATTTTAATGCATTTATCAGTTTATATATATATATATATATATTGAGTGTTTATTATCAGTGAATGACTTTTTGTGTATATATTTGCTAATAAAGATGAATCGCTATTATCTTTGGTGGAGTTGTCGGCACAAGCAGTTGCGTGTCACATACCATTTGAAGTGGTAGAGCACGTGTACCCTCCCGTTCCCGAACAGTTACAATTGAGGATTGCTTTTTGGAGTTTTCCCGAAAACGAAGAAGACATAAGACTTTACTCGTGTTTAGCCAATGGAAGTGCAGATGAGTTTCAAAGGGGAGAAAATCTATTAAAAGCTAAAGCAGTTAAAGAACTTTTGCAAATCGGTTGGTTTTATAACATTATATATAAATACATACTATGTATTGATAACAATGCTTAACAAATACATTACATAACAAAAGGTTTTCATTTGAGTGCAACCGTAACCCCTCCGCCATCATTGGGTATATCAAAGGGTTCATACAATGTTGCCGTCACTTTTGATCGCAGACGTATCACATCCTGCAACTGCACCTGTCCCGGACCCGGACCTGTCTCCTGGTGCTCACATGTCGTATCAGTTTGTCTCTTTCGTATCCATCAGGTATACATTTATAATATATATTTATCATAAGTATAATCTATATATTTGCTTATATCATAATAGCCAACTCAAGTTTGTCTTCGCGCACCTGTATCTGAATCATTATCTCGTTTACATCGGGATCAGTTGCAGAAGTTTGCTCAATACCTTATTAGCGAACTTCCTCAACAGATATTACCGACTGCTCAAAGACTTCTCGATGAATTGTTATCGAATCAGTTAACAGCTATAAACACTGTTTGTGGAGCACCCGATCCGACAGCAGGTGCTTCAGTTCAAGAACAAACCAAATGGTGTTTAGACGAATCACAACTTCATGAGAACATTCGTAAAATATTGATAAAGTTATGCGTGCCGTCGCCCATAGTCTTTAGTGATGTTAATTATTTGTCCTCAACGGCACCGCCCGCAGCGGCCGAATGGTCGAGTCTTTTACGGCCATTAAGAGGCCGAGAACCAGAAGGCATGTGGAACTTGCTATCTATTGTGAGAGAAATGTTGCGGAGAAGCGATCGAAATGCTATACCATTGCTGGAAATACTTACTGAAGAAGTGTTGGCATGCGATCAGATAATTCTTTGGTGGTTTAATACCAAAGTTTTACTTCACGCGGGAATCAATGGTCACGGAAACAGATCCAATATTCACAGCAACACTCACGCTTCACAACACGCCTGTAGCAGTCTTTGTGATGAAGTGGTAATTTTATGGCGTTTGGTTGCATTAAACCCGGCTCTGTCTCCCAGTGACGCTAAAATGTTTTACAATCTGTTACATGACTGGCACTTAAAAACAGTAGAGAGAGTTCTCAAAATGAGAACTACTATGAATAACGGAAACACGACTAATAATATCAAAAAGTCGGACATTGATGTATTTACCGGATTTAAGCCAGCAATGGAAGGTTGTCTAATGGATTGGAGTGATTACCCGATAGCTGGTATTACTTATTTTGGAAACCGTCCTAATAGGTGGTATACCCCTCCAGTACACGCATCAACTCATTCAACACAGTGTTCAACTCAAACAATAAGCACTGAAAATGCCATCAATTCAAATAGTTCATCATCAAGAAGAGGTCGTTCCGTCGAAATTGGACAACTGTTGGCTCAATCACCCAACCATTTAGCAGAAGCTGAACCAATACCTTCGACTTCTAAAACAACACATTCTGTGATTCAATCGGCACAAACCTTGCTGTCAAACATGAATTCAAAGAGTATAAAAAATAATGAATCCAATAGAAGTTCATTGAGTAGTGAAGGCTTTTGTGAGACTGAAAATGAGGCATTTGATGAGTCCATTGCTGTTACTGAATCGGTATTGAAATCTACATCTAATGAATCGAGAAATAGACCCGAAATCTATAGAAATAATAGTAATGATAGCACTGATATGGTTGCCGATGAAAATGGCAGCGATACCAGTGCTGAGAGTAATACGAATCCATTAGATGCTAATAGTAATGCTGTTAATAACAATAAACCAAATGTTGAAACCAACGCAAACAAAGTTTCAAATGAATTTGACTTATATTATTATAACTCGAAAGCAAATGAAAATATATCACCAAAAGCTCAGTTATTAAAATCACTAAAAGAAGATTTAGATGAAAACCGTATTCAAGTTGTGATCAAAAGAATTGAAGATCCAATTGAAATACTGTTTGCCAGAGCAGAGGCACTTCACGCACACGGAAGAACTCTTGAAGCATGTCTTTTGGCTGTTAAGTTAGCGGATGAGCTTCTTAGTAATCCACCAAATCTTTTAATAGAAACACCAACTCCACCGACACGAGGCAAACGTAATCGTCGGTTTAATCCAATCTGCCATCAGGTAAGTCTTCTGGCATCGGCTACACTCTCAAAGGCTGCTTTCTTGTGCTCTGTTTTGGGAGAAAATACCGATTATCACTACTTAGCCTTTAAAGTTGGTTTGTTTGGTCTGGAAATGGCACGACCTCCTGCTTCTACAAAAGCACTTGAAGTGAAGTTAGCGAATCAGGAACAGGATTTAGTTGCACTTCTTAAGCGAATTCCTTTATCACATAAAATGATGCAAAGTGTGAGAGAAAAAGCTGAACAATTAAGAGATGGTATCTTAACTACAAGAGGCGATGCATTATTACCATTGATGTTAGCGTCTTATATATTTGATGCACTGGTTCTGTCGTCCACACAAAACCAAATACGAACTAATATTGTTAGTAATATTAGACTATCGACTGATGAAAAATTAGGTTTTGAAGCCGCTGTGGCCGCACTCGGTCTTAAAGCTAATGTTTCTGAAGCCGAACATCCATTGCTATGTGAGGGCACTCGTCGACAAAGAGGCGAATTAGCACTTACTTTGTTAGTACATTATAAAGACGATCAGCAAAAGTTGCATAAAATTATGGATAAACTTCTCGATAAAGAAGTTCATCAAATGTACAGAAATACAGCCGAAAGTTTTGGTAATACTTCTAATATCAACACTACTACAGCAACTGCTACACCAACACCAACCACTACTCCATCAAAAAGTTTGCCACAAGAGGCTAATAATACATCTCATAGCGAAGAAACCGAATCAACTCAAGTAACAGTTGGTTTAGCAATCAATGGAACAACAAATAATCAGAATTCATTACCATCTGAATCAGCTTCTAGTGAATCGACTTCTAATAATGACTTGAGATCGACAAATAAAAGTAAATGTGATACCGAACGAAATGAAGAGGCTGGCAGTCCGTGTTGGGATGAAGACTATAAGGCATGGGAAGCGCGTTTCAGATGCACTAACTTTAGAACCAATAAAAAACATTCAGTTGGAATGGCAAGCATTGATAGCAGTGCTCCAGAAACTACTTCAAGTGATAATTCTCCAACAGTTGTTCGCAGATCAATGTGGGTAAGACCCGGAGGTCCAGGAAGTGATAGTGGCAGTAGCGGAGAGAGCAGTGACTCATTTTCATCCAGTTCTTCGGGTGATAAAGCAGTTCGTATCATCAATAAAGGACGCGATGTCGAGAGTCCAAAAGTTAACGCAATTACTAACAGATTAGCCAATGTGTGTACCATTGTTGAGACGGTTGCACCCGTTGTCGTCGCTAATAATTCAAGGACTACAACTAATGGTACAATTACTGTAAACAATACAACACCGTTAGTAATAGGAAACGCATCGCCAGTTATCACAAATCAGACTATGAAAGCGATTCGTTTTAAAGGCAAACGCGCTTATCCATCCATACCTAACCAACCGAGTGAAGCATCAGCTCATTTCATGTTTGAATTGGCCAAAACTGTTTTGGTTAAGGCTGGAGGAAACAGTACCACAGCTGTACTTTTTACTCAACCATCGGCCACTCAGAACTGTCGCGGACCTCATAGAGCACTGCATATGTGCGCCTTTCAAATTGGTGTTTATGCATTAGGACTTCATAATACTGTTTCACTCAATTGGTTGTCAAGAACTTATTCATCACATGTTTCATGGATTACTGGTCAGGCTATGGAAATCGGTAACTCTGCTATTAATTTTCTAATAGAAACATGGGAAGGACATTTGACACCTCCAGAGGTGGCCTCTTTGGCCGATAGAGCTTCTAGAGGTCGCGAGTTATCAATGGTTAAAGCGGCCGCAGAGTTAGCCCTCTCATGTCTACCACACGCCCACGCACTTAATCCCAATGAAATTCAAAGAGCACTCATTCAATGTAAAGAACAAAGTAATGATATGCTTGAGAGAGCTTGTCTTGCAGTTGAATCGGCCGCTAAAGGAGGCGGTGTATATCCAGAGGTGTTGTTTGAAGTGGCGAGAAAATGGTATGAATTATATGAAGAAAATCTTCAAGAGAGAGGAAGACATTCTGCTCAAAGACAATCACATAGAAATATACCAAATATAGAGCAAAACATTAATGGAGTTAATCCTGAAATGCCGGCACCCGTTGTCAACAATATTAACGTAAATTCCGGTATTTGTATGAATGATCAAAACCATATGATTCTACAAAATGAACGACAACAACAATACGATCCAATGATGGCAAATGTGGGCCAACCATCAAATATAATACCAGTTAATGCACCTCAAGTACCCACATCAACAGTTTCATTACCAATGATGCCACCTCTCAATTGTGGACCAACCGGTCCTTTTACAATACCTCCACATCCATATGGCTATTACCAAAGTTTACCGCCATATTCACAACAATTGCCACCATTTCAATACGTATCGACAGCAAACACATGTACCCCATATCCCTATCCATTCTATCCGAATTCAGTGACATCATCGGCTCCATTACCACATTTAAGAAATATTATGCCACCCATTTTATTTCAAGCCAATCATCAACAATTGATGCCTTCAATTAATGTTACTCAAAATGGTCAGCAGCCGTTCTCACCACGACCTCATATCATTACAATCGCATCGTCAGCACCTCATCCACAACAAGCTCTTCATATGAATGCAACAGTAGCCCCACACCAACAGTTACAACAGTTAAATACCAGACAATTGGGATACTTGTTATCTGCTTATAGAGTGGGTATGTTAGCCATGGAAACATTGGCCCGAAGAGTACATGACGATAGACCACAAGCCAAATATGCCAGAAATCCGTCGTATGGAGAGGACGTCAAATGGCTATTAAATGTGGCCAAGAAATTAGGTATTTCTACTTAAATAACATAAATTTTATACTGTATTATGTATGACAACATTGAGCTTATTTTTGTTGGTCAAACAGGAACATCATATTTGCAAGATTTTTGCATTTGTACTGTTAATAGCGTTGCCTCACCATTTGTATTACATGAGATTGTATTGGACACCGCACAATACCTGACCCATTCAACTACAACTCCTGGTATCGCTCATCCCATACGATCACACCTTTTGACTCCATTGATACAAAAATGTCAACAAATGTATGTTTAGACGTATTAATGAATGACCATTGGATCTAATTGAATGACTTGTTGTATTGTTGATGAATAGGTTCATAGCGTGTACACACTTTAAGATGTATCACATAACACCAGCCGATTACGATGAGTTTGTGACCATTATTCGGAGCGCAAGGTCTGCCTTTCAATTGACACCGGGAGGTAACATACAGTTCAATGAACTGTTGCAAAGTTTAAGGCGTTCCAAGTCGTGTAAGAAAGACTTGTGGCAACATATCGCCAATTCATTGCAAACTACTATTTGATAATTGGCTTAATCTAGTATTAAATGATAACTTATAGCAAATATTAGTTATAAATCGCACTTCACTTACAAACAAATGCATTCAACTTAAAATTAGTCCAAATATTAATTTTTAAATAAGACAAACATCTGCTCATAAAACATCATTTAAATATAGAAACAATAAAATTCAGTTAACATCTAATCGACAAAATTTGTTTCAATGAATTGCTGTATAAATTGCTTCGAAAATCTATAAGAAAAACATAAAATTAGGTCTAATATAGAAATAAAAAGCAAAATAAAGTTATAAAATACTTTGGTTTTTTACCATATTATCACAACATTTCGACAAAATTATATATATTGTAAAGACAACAGTGTTTTTATGTTTGTAAAAAAGAGCATAAAATATGTGAAAATATGTCACCAAATCGTACAAAAAACTATTGACATTTCACTTACAGTATGAGTAGTAGTAAACTCATAAACTATTGTCTATTTTTTATTTCAATATTGTTTGATAATATAATAATAATAATTATTTAAATGCGAGTTACTCTTTATGTCATCAAAGACAGTATAAATTGTTTCTAATATCTCAAAAACCTATAGTTTTTAATTAGTTAACAGTTAACAGTATATAATATTATATATCAGTATTTATTGTTGTTTTATTTTTATTAGTCCTTTATTGACAAATAGTCTCAATTTAAGGAATTTAATTAACCGAAATTCTCTCAAAATATATTTATACAAAACTGTATATCTTTGGAAACTATAGGTGAATGAATGTTATCACAAATACATTTTATTATTTATCAAATCATTAACTAAACTATATATAAATCTACATATATAAATAAATATATATATATATATAAAATATATATTACATAAGTTTATAACACAGTATTAAATGTGTTTTGGTGTTTATCTCAAAACTTTCCGTCAGGTAAATGATGTGCTTTTAATAAAAAAGCATTGCTTTTCTGTATAATTAATTTTCAGAAAAATACTAACTTTTAGATAATATTGTAGGAAATATCCACAAAAAAATCTGAATGCATCTAAAAATATATTTTCAAATGAAATGAAATTTTTATTTATAAATAAAATTGTTTAAACAGTAATACAATATTATTTGCACAAAAGGATGACACATTAATTTAATTAATTATTTAAAAAAAATAATACATTAAGACTATAAACGGCCACAAAATATTTAATTTTGTGTTTTTTAGTAAAATTGTTAGAATAATCCATTGTATTTATTAATAGATTATATTTGTTTATGTATATTATTGCATATAGCCAATTATATATAACAATTATTATTATTATTATTTGCATTATTTAATTTTATTAAAATTACATTTTGAGCGCTTATATTCGCAAATTTCTAATTAGTATTATAAAATAATTTTGACATTTGTGTCAATTTGCGGATACCTATTATGATATAAACTGTATTTATTTTAATTTGAAAAAAATCCTAAAATTGATACAATATTAATATAATAAGAGAATTGGCGAAAAAGCATCCAAAATATTAATTTTAATAATTAAGTATTTATAAAAAAATAAAAATGAAATAAAAATAAGAATTTGATATTTAAAATTATGTTTTTTGTTATTTCTTTAATATATATTTCATTAAATGATACAAAAATATAAATGTTTAATCGGATTTTTATTATTTAATATTATTAAACATTAAGATTGGTTATAAAATACATTAGTTTTTAATCAATTATAGTGTAAGCTTGAGATTACATTATATTATTAATTGTTATTTTTAAAAAACATGAACTGCTTTTATAGAAAACAAATTTAGAAATATATAATATACATATATATATATATATATAATGACTAGTTTTGGTGTGTATGTGTATTAACAATAATTGTATTATTATTTATATAAATTATATATTAATAAGTATTGAATTATCGTTTATTATTCCTCTGGATCTCACAGACACAACAAGAAGGCGCGAAAAAGTTTTCAGATGAAATGCTCTGACCAGAAGAGTCCAGTGATAATAACTTCTTCTTTATGTACTTCTGTTTGCATCGACTGACGAAACCAAAGGGCAGTGATATGTGGTTAGAACACGACTGACCCGGAGTTCTGTTAGATTTCATTCAAACAATTGATTATATTTTTTTGACTAATAATTAATTCATTTTAATTATGATTTACGAGTTTATTGTAACGATTTGCCGTCCAGGATATGATCCATTGGCTTATATATCATATAATTTTTATAATTTTAATATTTTTTTGCTACAAATAGACACTTAAAGCACTCATCTATTATGTGTTGGCAAACCTAATATAAACCCGAAATTCAACATATTTTGCAGTCATCGGTCCCAACCATTAGTTTTACAATTTCTTTCTTTACTGAAAAATTTTGCTTATATTTTGATATTAGATAACAAATTTGAAGATTTTTATATCAAAAATATTGGAAATTAGATTTTGAAACCGGATTCAAACATTTTTAGATTCAATTTTTCTATTGAAATATGTGTTACAAGTGTTTAAAGTCAAAAGTTTTGCTTAAAATTGAATATTGAGTTACTCTCTCCTCTCCTCTATAACTAAGTGGTGATTAACCCTCGGGTTATAAACTTATTATAATTAATTTTATTATAAATAATGACAAATAAATTTCATAACATTATGACAAACTTACTGACAAACTTCCACTTTGATGGCCTGTTTTAGTCGTGGATCTCTATCTGAAAGATTGACCACAAATTTCCACTGACTCTTGTCATTGAGTGCAGCCTTGGGTTCGACCAAAATCATCCTCGACTGACACACCGGATCAACCACTGGATCCGTTTGACGTTTATATCGATTTTGATGTCTCTGTGATATCATCTCATTGTCGAATGGCTGTTGATAACCATGTGGTGACTGTTGGTGTTGTGGATAATAATTGTTATGATTATCGTTGGGATATCTCATTGGTGTGTAATGAGAATTGTATGGATATATTGTTTGCTCAAAAGGTTTTTGTTTAGTATCGTATGGTCTGTATTGTCCTCTATTGTCATCGCTGTTGTAATTGTTTCCAAAGCCATAGTTATAGGGACTATCGTTTGGAGGATAAGAAGAGTGATGATTATAATTGTTATTATTTTGTCTGTTATTATAATTTGGTTTTTGATAATTGTTATCGTAATGAACGGCTGTTTGATAGACAACATATCCCTCATGTTTTGGTGGTTTGTTATACTCTGGTTGTTCTTCATAAAAGTGTGGTTCTTCATCATTAAGACTTTCATCGACAAACTCACTGGAAATGTTAAATCTTTTGGCTTTCGCCGCTTTTATCACTTCAAAGACGTCATCACTGATAAGTGATCAAAGGTTACATAAATATTAAAAATAAAAGTTTGTGTAATACTATAAAATAGATATAAATTGTGACAAACCTGGGATAAGATGGCTTGACTTCTGTACAAATAGTTCTTCCAAACTGTGGACAGAACTGAGGGGACGGTAGATATTGTTTCTTTGGTTGAGGTTTATCGATGGCATAATCGGAATACCAATAACTACTTTGAGTATAACTTCCGCGCCATAGAGGAGATGTTGAGGCAGACGGCACTGGGTTTACATCTCTTATCCCATGAATTAAAATAAGTGCGAAAAGACTGACAAAAGCCCACATAAATCACTAAATGTGTTAACAATTTGTCTGAAATATGAGTCAAAATAAATCCTTTTTCAAGAATTTAGTATTAAATTCACAGTAGTTTTGCATTTGAAACGCTTGTTATTCACTGTTAGAGTCAATGAATAGCATTAAAGTTAAGCTAAACGGGGGAATGGGGTCAATGATTAGGTTAACTAAAATCATTATTGTGGCGAATGCCTCATCTTATATACCTGTCCTTCAGGGAGGATATGACAACATATTGCAAACCATTATTTCTCTGCTCCTCCTAATTAACCCAAACTCCGGCACGACTTTTATTAATTACACTCATTATTGTTACCATTTGTTTTGTGTAGTTTTGTGTTCATTTAATTACAACTTTCACTTGAAAAACCACTAATACATACATCAAGAGATCGTTAATCATATTTATTGGTCACCACTTGACCACTACCTGTCCATTCGTGCTATTCTTTAATATAAGGCCTACACCTGTAGTATTCTTAAGCAAAAATTCAAGCCTTAAGTCTCAATATTGAACACACGTCTAACAACTTCATTGAACTAAACTTCTTCATGGGTTAGACATGAAACGCCAGCCCCCGCCACACGACTATCCAATCACTCTATTGAATAGTGTTTTATAACTATAACTTTAACTATGTTTTGTGTTTAACTCTTTTATTTGAAATATTCAAAAATACAAAACACAAACACAAATGGCTATTAATTATAAAACAAAAATTGATATATAAGTCAAACACTGTTTTATAATATATAAATATTTTTGGTTTTTCCTAATAAAGAGTTGTCGTCTAATATTTGATCCATAATTATCACAATCAGACATAACATAGCTTTATTTTACAAGAAGTTTTGATAAAGTTGTGAACAATGACTGGCATATCAATGACGAACAACTTTCTCACGACTCCTCCTTATCCTTGGTTTGCGTTATAGTCTAACAAAAGCAAACATTTTGTTTTCAATAATTTAATTGAAATAGTTTTGTAAAATTAACTATAAATTTAAGTCCGTTTTCAACGCACACATCAACTGCTTATGCATCAAATCGGAGGTGTGGGCTATATATACTTATAATTTATTTATATATATATACTGTTCTAAAAGTAAATACAACACATGATTATGATATGATAGAAAGAGAGAGAGAGAGAGAGAGAGAGAGAGAGAGAGAGAGAGAGACTTCAAATAAATATGTAATATTTTTCACTTTTTTTGTATTCTTGTGGCAAAAATATAGCCCAAGAGATAATAGTTCTTATGATTTCAATGTAGATATAAATAGCCAAAAGTCATGGGAATTCTCGCAATAAAAGATAATATTAATTATATTTTTTAAAAGTTATTTTTATGCAATTGAATGAGATATTTAACATTTTATATTGAAGTTTAAATAAATTATTGGAGCAAAACTTGTATTTAATCATTGATATGACCACATTTGGTCATAAATCTTATTGTTATTATCATTATTGACAACACATTTGTTTTAATATTATAAAGAAAAAGAAATATTTTATTTGATTTTCATTGAAATGTCAACTTATATAATAAAAACTATAATAATATTCAATTATATAGAAGGTTAAGAATACACTCTTTATACTAAATCATCAATAAGTATATTCATATTAATAACAAAATATTATGTTATTATACTATTATATAAAAATAAATAAATAATTATAATAATAATAAACATATAGTAATTTATTAAATATTATAATTGTATGTCATATTGTAGTTATGATTATATTTTTTTATTTATTTATTTAAAGTAATATTTATTACTACTTTATATGTATTTCCGTTTTTTAAAGTAATATTATTATAAAGATCAATAATTAAGATGTTATTATCAATTGTGAATTTCAAATAAATTTTAATAACTTTTTAGATGAGATATGATATAAAACAAATTTTTCCCAAAAAAAATTACAAAGTCATCTAATTTTATCATTTTTTATAATCTTTTTTTTATTATTATACGACTAAAAAACATAAATAATTTTTAAAAGCTTTATTTTGCAACAATATATACATTTGGAGATTTTCTTTTATTTGTTTTATTATAATTAACAAACTTTTTTAATATTTTAAATATAATTACAAAACAATAGCATATTATAATGCTAATTGCTTTTTAGTTTAACAATTTAATTGAAGGTAATATTTATAAGTAATATTATATGTTATTATAAATTACTTATTTGCAATACTAATAATTTAACAGTTATTAATAATTTATGGTTATATTGATTTCAAATATATAAAAAATAAGTTGTAAATAAATAAATAAAACAAATAAAATAATAAAATTTAATAATAAAGAATATAAATAGATTACGCAACAATTTTAGTAATTTATTGTTATATTTTGTGACACAATTATAACAATAATTTACTTAAATTATTAAAATTATTAAAAAAAGTGTTGATAAATAAAATAAAATAATAAAATATAACCAAAATTTTTGTGTAAATATAATTTAAGAACATAATCAATATTATATATAAAATAATATACAAAAAAGGAGTTTTAGTTTTAAACATATTATTATCTGTATTTATGATCATAATTAGTAAATAATTAAAGATATTAATAGAAAATTGTAAATAAAAATTATAATTAATACAAATATTATTTTAATACAAAATAAAAGATACTTTAATTCAATAATTATAATATAGTAATAATAACTCTTTCTTTTGAATTAAAACTTAAATATAAATACTGTAAACAACTTAAAAATATTTTAGAAAACGAAGTATAATATAAATACTGTATAATTAAGACTTGGATTTTAATAAAATAATATTATAAACTTACACTTGTATAATGGATATTAAATTTTTAATAATAATTGAACAAATTTTGTTTTATTTTTTAAAATATTATATTATTTAATTCACTGAACCTTTTTATATATAAAAATTAACACTTGTATTTAAAAACATATTTAATATAGAATTTATATTATAAGGTAAATTGCATAATTTAATTTACAGATTTAAAAAAAATTAAAATTAATAAATAATTTACACCACTAACAAAGTAAATTTTTTATTAAAAATATTATAAAAATCTTACATATAAGTGATTTGTTGTACAGTATTAACATTTATATTGAAATAAATTTTTAAAAAATGATTACAAATATTATTATAAACTTGGATTTACAATATTTTTCAACTTTTATATTAACTACAAAAATGTTTATATATAAAAATTCATATATAAACCTCAGAATAATTTATATTACACTTTATACAAATTTATATTAATATCAAAATTTTAACAAAAATATCAAATTTGAATTAATAATATAAAAATAAAAATTTACTTTTTATCGATGTTTTTGATTTTAAATTAATATTTATATAGTTTTATTATGTTTTACAGCGAACTTTTTATTTACCTTTTATTTATTGTATGTCTGATATTATTATTTTAGAAAATTTTAAGTTATAATTATGTAATTAGTTTTATTAATAAATAATTATCTATAATTAGTTACATAATTGTTTTAAATAGTATTTGATTTCAATAAAAAAATAAATTATAGTGACTTATTTTAATAATATACACATAATATATCTGTACAATAAATACTGTGTATATAACTTATAATGTATTAAATTTTTATTTCCTTAAACTATTATAATAAAAATTTAAATATAAAACATGATTTTATAATAATTGGTTGCAATTGAGAATTATTTAGTTAAAAAGTGTATAAAAGTCTGAATTAAAAAAATAAAAATACATACATAATACAGATATCATAATTTGTTATCTTTTTATGTATATTTCAATCGGATTGATCTCAAAAATGTAAATTAAATCACATTTTAGAAACTATGAAGTTTTAATAATATAATGCAATATAATTTATTATTGATTACACTTTGAATAAAATATATATAAAAAAAATATATTACATGAGTGTGTAAATAGTTTGACCAAAAAAATCTATTTAAAAATGTTAATTACTTTTCTCCATATCTAGTAATACAGTTTAATTAATAATAATTACTATTTAATTAATTTAAAGTTAACAATTTTATTACATTTTATTAAATATTTGAATATTTTTGTTTTTTGTCAATTGTTTGCAATATTTTGGTCATCTCATAAATTAATTAAATTATGAATAAAATTTTACAAAAACTAAAATTTATATTTATTTTATATAGAGATATTTTTTTGCATAATATAGTATTAATAATATAACTTTATTACAATTGCTATATTAATACAGTATATGAAGTTTCCATACTATGATATTTTTTATTAAAAAAATATTTTTGAGTAATTTTCTTAAGAAAATTGATTGAAAATTTTAATTTATCTAACTTTAAGAGTAAATATATTATGATAGTACACAAAACAGACATATTATACGGTAAAAAAGTTTGTAATAAAATATTAAATCTTATTACACAATATATCTACAAAATTTATGTATGTAATCTTTAAGTTATTTAAATAAATAAAAATTTATTAAAATAATACCAATGTAGAATATTGAGGTTTAAATAATTATATATTTTTTATAAAATATGCATTAGTTTATATATACTGTATATAACATCAAATTTTTAATTATTATAATAATCATATTTTATTAATAAATAAAAAAATTCTATTTTAAATTTTGTAAATTATAATAAGGTTTAATAAATCATATAATTATATAAATATTTTAATCATTTTAATTAAAAATCATAATTTGAAATTATTTTCACTTATATTTTAATGTTATATAAATTTTCTATTAATTAAGTTATTTATTATCATGGTACTAAAATAATATTATTAAATAAATTAAATTTTTATTACTGTTATTTTACTCATAAATATAAATTACTGTAATAACGTATTTACTATTAACTAATTATTAATCCTTTTAACTATTAACTCTTTTTATATATTTTTAATAATTATTAATTGATTTATTTTCTATAATTTCAGACCATTTAAAAAAATCTTACCGTAATTGTAATAAATTATAAAACAATTAAAATTATTATTTTTTATTTATGAAATTCTATACATAATATTTAAATATATCTAATAAATTAATTTCAATTATAACTAATAACTAAAATATTGAATGATATAATAATTGTGTAATAATTTTAGATATATTTGACAACAAGTGCTTTGGAGTCGTGTGTGATCTGAATATCCATTTTGACGATACATTTGAGTTGATATGAAAGGATTTGTTCGGAATAACCGATAAGAAAATACATCTTTGTTTGGACAACGGATTGGTGAACAATACCCGAAACTATTATAATGTTTGCCCGCCTTTTGATAATAATCTCTGAAAGAAATAGTCGATGAAATGTCCCGAAAATGAATTTCCGTATAAACAGATCTTCGACAGTCGTTTGACTTGTGTTAGTCCTACCGATGCCGACCAGACTCGAAGTGTTCCACGAATTCCAGCCTTTCCTCACCGCTATATAATGCGGAGGATTTACCATCTCGTAGGTCATCGGAAACGTCTTATTCCGAGTCTTGGATCTCGTGTAACGCGCGGCCACTTGTTTGCAGTGCACGTGACTCGTGTGTATACATCGTTGCCATTGATGGACAAGTGTACGGATGTCCGTAAAGAGCTAAACAATTAGTTAAAACGGTTAGTGAAGTCAATATCGGCCGGTAATCCGTAATTACTGACCACTCGTTGGCCGACAACTGAATTCATGAGACAATCAGTGATTCATTCAAAACAATAATTGTAAACAATATTTGCAAAAAAAATAAATTTATAAATAAATAACGTTTTGTTTTGTAGAAGAAAAAAGTTAACAACTAATAGGTTGACCAGTGATTGATGTCAACATTAATCGGCGATAAAGTGGTCATCAAAATGTTTACGACTGTTGTAACCGATGTTTTGCCGACCGATCAATACATTTGGTTGACATTTGGTGTGTGTTTTGAATTGAAAGTACATTTCAATTATAATTGTTTTCTATTGACTATTAATATGAATGTCTCTGTCATTGACTGACGTGTAATAGTATTGGAAAACATGTGATTCTGACGTAATTTCTTCCATTTTGGCAGTTATTGAGTGACACAAACACATAGACATTGAATGGATTGAATTGAACTGAAAGAGAGAGAGAGAGAGAGAGAGAGAGAGACACACAAACTGACGACACATTTGAAGGCAAACTAACTGTCAGTGCATTTGAGTTCAAACACTACTTCTTATATCGATTCCAGTGGTGATCATAACTAACGGCTTAATCAACTGATTGCACACATTTGACGACAACTAAACACATCCAACGACTGAAGACATGTTTATTTGGGACTTTTTCTCCGGTGTCTTAGGATTTCTTGGTCTGAATGAGTCAGCAATACATTGATTAACAAATTTTATTGAAATGTATTGTCATTTTTGATGAACAGGTTTATGGAAGAAGAGCGGAAAGTTGTTATTCTTGGGTTTGGATAATGCGGGCAAAACAACACTTCTTCATATGCTTAAAGATGATCGTATGGCTCAACACGTGCCTACTCTTCACCCAAGTATGTCGTGTCATCACTTGGATGACCACATTTGGCTCAATTGAATGACTAATCGATATATTGTTTGTTATAATAGCATCGGAAGAGTTATCAATCGGTAACATAAAGTTTACAACATTTGATTTGGGCGGACACAGTCAGGCCCGACGTGTTTGGAAAGATTATTTTCCCGCAGTGGACGCTATAGTGTTTTTGATCGACGCGTGCGATCGCGAGAGGTTTCCCGAGTCTAAAGTCGAGTTAGATGTATGTTTTGTCACTACTCGTTATAAATATAAAGAATAATTGAAATATTTATCAAATATAGAGTCTATTAACTGATGAACAGTTGGCCAACTGTCCCGTTCTTATATTAGGCAACAAAATAGACAGACCGGGAGCCGCCGGTGAAGATGAAATTCGTTCATATTTCGGATTACACGGTCAGACAACAGGAAAGGTATGTTTGTTTTTAATGTTTAATATGATGTGACGAAATGTAATGATTGATGACATAATGAACCGTTAGGTAAAAGTAGCCCGATCTGAACTACCCGGTCGTCCATTAGAGCTATATATGTGTTCAGTGCTTAAGAGACAGGGATATGGAGAGGGATTTCGATGGCTGGCGCAGTATATCTGATTATTTTAATGCAAATTGAAATCATTTAATTAAAACTTTTTTATAAATATATATATATATTTGAATTTAATGTATAAGTATTTAATTTATTGTTTCAATCGATTGATTGGTTGATGAAAAAAGACTCGACTATTAATACAATTTTTTAGTTAATTTTCAATTACTGATTGTTTATTAAAATTAATTATAATTATACACAAAACACACAATGAGAGCATGTTTTTAGTAGTAAATAATTTAGTATTTTAATTAATTGATTTGTTTATTTTTTTGCTCTTAAATTAAATGATTGATTTTTTGTGGCCTTAAAATAATTATTATAATAAAATGGTAGGTATTGTAAGTGTTGAAAAAAATCTAATCAAAGATTTTAAACATTTTTTTCCAAAGATTATATTAAAATAAATTTTAATAATGAATTGACATAAAGTTCCACATATTATAGCATAATTTAGGAATAAATTAATTTAATATTAATTATAATATCAACTAAAATATCTAAAATAACTACAAATAACAACTCATTTTTAAATGAATGTCATTTTTCTTATATTTTAAATACAAATTTTTGTACTCAATGTTTGATAGTACGGTAATTATCTTTTAAGCTTATGTGTGATAATTACAAACAAACATTAAGTTATTTATCAAACATTGAATAATATGACATAAATTCAACACATCATATGATTGAATAGAATTTACATAAAACACATGATTATACGGAATGTTTTTATATTTATTAAAATAAATAATTAGATATTGTATTGAAAATTAATTAAATTATTCTACAAATGTATATCTATTTTACGACACTATAAAAATTGATTTCATGTAATATTTGTCTGTAAAGCATTATTCAGATTTAAAAAATTGATAACATTTGGTATCAAAATATTTGTAAAAATTATCCGTTTATTAATTGATATAAAGTTTGATTAGAATAACATTTAAATTTATAACTCGAAGTCATATTTAGGATCTATTGGCCAAAAACTCTTGAATATGCGAGAGATCGCGAGCCAACCAATCAATGTTCAAACGTATTGTCTCTAATGACTGTTGAACTGTACGTTCAGTCCCAGGAAATTGGTTTTGATTAAAGAATGCTTCCACTTCTTGGAGACGCTCTTCTGTTGTGAAGTTCTCCGACAAATACTGTCAATTCATAAGTCATGTCTTATAAATACAGGTAATATTCGTAGTTTGTATGTATGATTGACATGTATGTGCTTACCTTAACGAGACGACTAACAATATAGCCGCCGTCATATCGGCTTTTGATCTCATCCTTGTGCTGTTTGAAGAACTCCCACGCAATGTCGCGACCATTTTTGGTCATCGCCACCGATATGATGACAAACGCCGAATTTTGAGACCTCACTTCAGTCTATATAAACAAACATTTTTTTAAGTAATAAATAACTGATAAGTAATGTAAAGTATATTATTACCGATAGCGCAAAATCGAGTACTTTAGCGATACGATTGGCATCCTTAACACATCCCAATGCTCTCGACACGCGATCTTTTTCTTCGTGTAAATCGGTGTCCCGATAGAGCTAATAAATAATTGAAAATTAAGATATCTGTCGCGTATTTCATGTTTTTTTTTTGTTGGTATTCATTACTTTAAACAATGCTTCAAAAGTTTTGTCGTCGCAATCAATAGCAACGGCCCGATAAACTGCAGCTCTGATGTCTGGAGCAATAACATAGGTTCCGTTGCAATGAGAATCAAATAGTTTCTTAGACTGTGATATTACATCCGGACAYTCAAATGTTGCCAATCGGTTAATTAGTAAACTTCTAAGCAAAGTATTCAAATGAGTTTCGTCTTTAATTGGTTCCCATCCGAGACGCGAAAATATTTTTGATATTAATTGACGACCGAACTCATGAAATTGTGTCATTGAGTCTGTTTGAGCCAACAGTAGATTTAGTTTTCCAAGACATCCATTAATTGAGTTCCAAACAGTATAATCATCTTCATTAGCAAATGCATCCATTAATTTCAAGACATCTACAGTTGACGCCTGTCCTGACTGAACCAAAGCAAATAAGTCATTTTGAAGACCCAATCGATCCAATGGCGGCAAAGTCTTATCGGTAACTGATGGCAAAAGCAATTCAACAGCTCTGGTGAATAGTTGACTCGATATACACCAACACATCCCGGATTCAATTTAATCCATTCATTGTTGGCTACGTTTGGTATTTCGATTTCAAGTGTTTTGCTGTCCATAAGTGTCTCAACGGCTACTTTGTTAGGATCGGAACCCTTTATTATTGATATAGGAATCATCCACAATGCAGATGATTCAGATGGTGACAATTTTCCATCCGCACAATACTTTTCTTGAGTTAAATTTAAAATTAGTGAATTTCCATCACGTCTTGAAGTGACCTATTAATTGATTAAATAATATATAGTATTACTGAATATAATATTTACCGGTAATAATAAAATAATTGCAAACACACTGTTATGACTGGATATCCTTTCTGTTTAGTCCAAGTGCTCATCACATCTCTGATTGGTTTATTACTGGCCTCTTGTAATGCTGTCCACAAATCTTCAGTTAAAGTGTTTTTATACTTATGTCGATCCAAATAAATATTCATTCCTTTGCGAAACATCTTATTTATGAAAATTCAAATACCGGTAATTATATCTTATAAAATAGTTATTACCGGTATATAATAGTGTATATTATTACCTCATCACCAATAAACCTATGAAGCATACGAATAACAGTCGCTCCCTTATTATAAGAGATATCGTCAAAAATTTCGTCAATTTCTGATGGATGACCAACTGGTACTTCAATTGCATGCGAGTTGTGGAGTGCATCCAATTCAAGTGCTGGTGTGTATGTGTCGGAAACAAATTGAGTCCATATGTGATATTCGCTAAACAAATGATCGACACATAAGTTCTCCATAAAAGATGCAAATCCTTCATTAAGCCAAAGATCTATTGTTTAAATACTAATTTTAATATCATATTTAATAATAATTTATTTAAATGATATTACGTGTCCACCACTCCATAGTGACTAAGTTGCCAAACCATTGATGTGCTAACTCATGTGCCACAACTAATGCAATCCATTGTTTTCTGTTTAAAGAAGTGTTTTGTGGATCAACTAAGAGACAAGTCTCTCTGTAAGTGACTAAACCCCAATTTTCCATAGCACCCGACGCAAAGTCAGCAATCGCTATTAAATCCATTTTAGGCAATGGATAAGCAATATTGAAATATTCTTTATAAAATGGAAGTGTTTTAGTGGCCACTTCCAGAGCAAACACTCCCTGATCCTTCTTTCCAATTGGTGTATAGACTCGAACTAATACGCCATCAGCAGATTTGTCTTCAATGTATTCATATTCACCAACAATAAATGCTACTAAATATGTAGACATAATGGGAGAAGTGGCAAATTTAACCACTTTAAGACTTTCGTCATCTTTAGAATCGTTTTCAGATATGACATTCATGTTTGAAAGGGCCACTCGATTCTTAGGCACTTCAAGAGTAATGTCAAACGTGGCTTTAATAGCCGGTTCATCCCAACAAGGAAATGCTCGGCGGGCGTCAGTTGCTTCAAACTGTGTGGTCGCCGCATACCTTTCCTCCCCTTCAGGAGTCGTGTATTTGCTTCTGTAAAAGCCTTTCAGTTTATCATTAAGTGTTCCGTTAAAGACAATTGTCAAGAGTCCACTTCCAGGTGTCAAAGAGTCACTGAAATTCAAATAAACCGTTTCTGTGTCAGCCAACARTTCAATCTTCTCAGAATTGAGTGCTAAGAAAACAAACATTTAAATCAATTAATAATCAGATAATTGTCATAATCTTTAGTTATGCCTACTTTTGCCACTTTCAGTAGTAAAAGAAGCGGAACTAATATTCAATTCATTTGCGTTTAATATTATTTGTTTTGTTTCTTCATTCACTTTGACTTTAATGCTTTCACTTCCAGTAAATGTTAAACTCTTGAGATTAGGCTTAAGAGTGATGTCATAATTGATTGGAGTGACAGTCGATGGCAAGCGTTTAAATTCAGATGTCTTGAATCCGCCTCTCATTGTTAATGATTTAATAGATATTATAATCAATCTTTTAGATGACAATAAGCAACGATAGCCGATAAACTGGAACCGATTCAAGTGATGATTCGTATGTCTAAAGGAGCGATAGATCCATAAGATTTGCTTCATTTTAATCAATGATTTAATACTCAATAATCAATCAATGATTTAATTGATTGATTGATCAATTGGTATAATCCATCGCTAAAGATGTTTAGATTGTCTTTAATGATGGATGACATCAATGGTTACATATGATTGTCATGTCTTTGAATGTCTTTGAATGTCCTAATAGTATGTAATAATAATAATGGACTCAAAGTCTAGTCATTAGTTAAATATTATTAACAATTTAATTGTTAGACCTATTAATCATCTAAACATTTACTGACATTTATTACACTAACTATCTATACATTCAATGACATCACTCAACACTAACTCACCTCTAATATAGTGCTAATTATGATCACAATTAACACCAAATTAATGCAAACAATCAATCAATCAATCAATGAGTTGACAAAAGCGTGAATTTAAAGCAATGACAGTACAGATGGCTCTGTCGTCACAACAAGTGTTTCATTGAATGACATTTGGGTTTAATATTACATTAATTTATAATACTTTAGACTCAAAAACAATAAGTATTTGAATGTAAGTCAAGGACACCAATCGTTCATCAATTATGTGTTCAATTGGTAAGACTTTAAGCCCACAACTCATATGTTTATCACTGAATGTTTAGTATTGTTTAGACGTAACTGTTGTGTCATTTAGTGATTGAGTTTGACTGACAATTGCTGACCATTTGTTGTCATTCAGTGATTGCAATGTAAGACTTGATTCATAACATTGTAAAACATATGTCTTGAGGCAAACAATGACACGAAATAGTCATTTGGATGAGATATCAATGAAATGAACCACAGATGCTATTATTGAATATACTGTTAAACTGATTGTCTCTCCAGAAGTTAACATTAAGTCAATGTCTTCAGTGATTCCTGAGATTCGAGTCTATTCGCCGTCGGAAACGACACAAGAAATTAATAATAAAATGAAGAGAAGTGTTGGCGATTACAATGCAAAAGTTGGTGACACCAGTGATGCCAATAAAAGCTTGAATGGATTGGACAAGAATGAGGTGAAATCGGATCTAATTTCTTGGGAAAATACATTTCATATGCGAAACATAAATCTAATGAATTTCGGCACCAATTTATTGTCCAATCGGTCCACTTATCGATCGCATGCCATATCTCTTCACAGGCAAAGAATGGGCGGAACGTCGAGTACTCATAAATCGTTGAATATATTAAGACAAGCACTTCAACAATCAATTAATAAAGAAATCAATGAAGTGATTCAAAAATATTTGGACCGATTTTTTCGACCGGCTATTGATAATATTCGCAATAATAATGGCCCCAATTCGGTGTCCGAACAGCATATTCAAGCCGTTTGCCAACAAATATTGGAAGAATCGAAAAAAATGTATTTTGCGTCCAGTTTTACACGATCTAACAGCCCAGCTATGAATGGCGTTTCAAGCAATGGTGACAATACGTCTGATAATGAAAATAATAATCCCACAGAAGTGGAACCAAAGCCTCGACCAGTTGGTCGACCAAAGAGAGTCAGAGATTCAGACAGCGATTCAGAAGTTGGTTCTCTTCATACACTAAAACCGATAGCTTCGAGAAAAGGCAAACACGCGAAGCACTCATACCATCATAATTCAAGCGGACATTCGGGTCGTTCTACTCCTACAGTTGGCAGACCTCATAGCAAAACTGTTAATTCAGACTCTGCTAAAAGAGTCGTAAGAGACTCAAAGAAATGGGATCCAAACCGACTGTCCACCGAAACATTGTTTGTTTTGGGATCCAAAGCCAATAAAGCATTGGGCTTTGGATCAACAAGAGGTCGATTATATACAAAACATGCGGATCTCTTTAGATATATAGGAGATCAAGAAGATAAACAATGGCTTCACGACAATCATTTGATGCCACCAGCAGGTGGTAGAGCTTATCTACTAATTAAAGAAGATATATTAGATTTAATAGAATCGGATGAATATAATGGCGCACCGGGAGTTAATGCAAATGACATGGGATATGGATTTACTGTACCTCAGAGTATGATTACCAAAATGCAGGCCGTAATGGATAGCATGCGTAACAGTGATATGTCGCGCAAAAAGATTGAAAGCAAATCACGAGCGCTGGCATCCAATCCATTGTCTTATCAATTATTAACAGATAATTCAAACACTAATCAATCCAATGACACGTCGAGAGTATCAAGAGAGACATCATTAGAGCCGAGTCGTCCAGAAAGTGTTGTATCACCGGCTGATGACCTGGAATTGCCGTCAGCTGATCCATCACCGTTTAGTATTGGAGCCTCTTGTTTTGAAAGTGATGTCAGTCCTACCGGTAATGATAACCAAATATCTCCCATTCCTTCAGTTATAAGCACTAATAATATGATTGATATTTAAAGTAAGCGTTACATTATATTGTTATAAATTAAAAATTGTAATAACAAGGAAAAAATGATACCAATTATTAGTTACCAGTTCTCAGGTATTCAATCATTATTCCTCATAATTCCCGTTTTCGCCACTTTCTTGTATTTAATGTATAAATGACATCAAATTGTATATAATAACTATCATATAAATTATGAATATTCTTATATTTTATGAAATTAAATCATATTTTATTAATGTAATATTACCCTAATTTTATCTCTTATATAATTAGTTTAATTTGTTTATAAAAAAGTTTATTTTAATTTAAAATTAATTATAAAGTCTATTTTTATATAATTCTAAATGTAATAGTAATAACAATTTAATAAAATAAAATATTCAAATAATACTTTAAAATGATTTAGTATATGATTTATAAATTATTTTATCAAAATGTTTATACTTAATAATTACTAAATTTAATAATAAGCTAATTGTTATATTTTACTGAAAAACTAATGAAAATATAAGTATAAAATTATATTTTACTTATATTATTAATATTAAATATAATTAGAAGAATAATATTATTACATGAAAAATAGTTAAATCAATTTGAACACAATATATTATTTAATTTATAAAAACAATTTTATTTAAATAATTTTAACAAATAACAATTGGTATAAAAATTCCAGAAAATTGTCATTAATAGTAAAATTTATAACATTAATGGATAAAAATGGATGAAATAAATATTTTATATCAATAACTTAATGGTTAGAAAACAACTGTTTATTGGTTTTAAAATCATTTGATGATAGATTGATATTTTTATCGTCAATCATATCATTGAAAGAACTCTTGAGAAAGAACTTGATTGCTGTCTTTGTCGATGATTGTTGGCTGACATCGGGATTGGCTTTAATATCTTCGACAAACATTTCAAACGGATTGCTATTATTTGTGTCACTTTTAGTGTCACTATTATCTGTCTGTTCTTCAGTCGACAAATCGTTGAACTCATGTCTTTGTCTTTCCTCTTCATATGAAATCTTTGACATTTCAATAGCAATCAGCAAATCCATAGAATTGTCGTATTTATAGTTCATATCAATACTCAAGTAATTATTATCCATTTCTTGCGTCAAATATTTACATTTAAGTGAACAAAAATCATGCTTTTGACCGGTTCTTGGATTTAAAATTTTTGGTTTCCAACAATAAGAATTGCAACAAATGTCTGATTCTGTGTTATTCTGTGTGAAAAAATTATCACTTTTGTCACCACAAGTACTTAGATGACTATAATCGACGTGACAGTCATCGGGCCAGTCGTATAAAACAAATAAATTGTTATGTCTTCCGTGTTTGTCCTGAATCCAAGAATTCTTGTCATTTAAATCACTTAATGATGATATAATCGCTTGATTTATAAGACTAATATCGTTTTCATCACATGGATTGTTGAGATTCTCCATTGAATCCAATGCCAACACTCCCGGCAAACAATGTCTTCTCTGGTGTTTATTAAACCCTGAAGGGGTCTCAGGAGGAATGAGTCCATTACAAACTGCTGATAATAACTCTAATCTTTTAATCTTCATTTTATCTGTCAAATCAATTATAAAACTTTTAGAGTTTCGTAAATATTCAAAGTTTCCACTAATTGTTTCGGATAATCGATTTGATACAAAATTAAGATTATTTTCCATGTATTCAAATATAGCCTTATTATAGCCGTGATCTTCGAGATAATAGCCATAAACAGCTGAACCACACAACACATTACGCGATCGGATCAATTCAAGTGAACACTTATAAAGAAAGTCATCGTCTTCTGAAACCATTTTAGTTTCTGAAGAGGAGTTGATTTCTGTTAATTCTAAAGAATACTTAAAAAGTTCTTTTTGTTTAGATTTTGATCTTTCAATGAGTGATATTTGGCTTTCGTTTGTCATTAGATTAAACTTATATTTAGTGTAATAAAAGACAAATTTCTTGAGTTCTTTCATTTCGCAATTGTGTGCTTCGGCTACTCGTTTCAAAAGACAAAGATTTTGTTCAGCTCTTTGTGCGGCTTCTGAACGATTGCATCTAAAGTAGCCACCGGTGCCTGAGTTGTGCTTCTTCCAGGTCTCCAAACATATCCAACAGAAATCATATTTACATTTATAACAACGCAAATGATTACAGCCATCACTCTTCTGGATGTGAGCCTTACATCGCGGACATTGTTTGGCGTTTCGTACTAACCATAGACTATTGGCCGCGTCCTCTGTTCGCGAATACTTTTGTTTAAGTTCTTCAGCTTTTATATCACCAATTTTTGTCATCCAATCTTCCCATAGTTTACAATCACATGGACTATGAGGCTCTTTACGACATTCCCAGCAAAAGTTATGACCTGATCCGCACTCAACTGAGTGACTAACTGGAAGAAGTGGTGGCATATTCGCCAATATATACGAATGTTCGCTATTGACTTTGGTCTTGGATTCGGGTAAATAAACTGCTTTATTACAAACGGGATATGGACACCATTGGATGCTTTGATTGTTTTCAATAAATACTTCGATATCTTTTTGTAGGAAACGTTGAAAATATTCTGGAGAAACAACTTTTTCAATGATCTTAATTGTGATCAAATGGCAACAATTAAATGCTGGACACGACATACAAGATGTGTCTCCACTATCTATTTTGAGCTCTATATAGGTTTGCCAACAATTTGTACAAAATTGATGACCACATTTGGCACCAACCACTCCATTGGACACTAACTCTTGCGAACAAATATCACATAGTTTTTGTTCAACGGATTCTATGTCTTCAGTCTTGAGAATGTCGTTATCGTAAATAGTATTCAAATGTTTATGTTTTATAGATTTTTCGGTATCATTAAACCAATTATCGATCAACGATTCTTGTGACCAATCGTATGATCTGAGAATTACTTCGGCGGATGAAAGACTTATATTTAAAAGATTGGATGTCTCGACAATTAATTCATTTTTCATTTTTTCTAAATCATCGAACATTAGCTGAGAATAGTCTTCTTTTAAATTATAAACGGAATAATTATTATTTAAATTAACATTTGATTGACTGCTGAAAACAATTTTAAACTCTAAATACTTTAAAATATCCAAACAGTTGTGTTTGATGGCCACATCACACACTGTATCTCCTAATTGGTTCTCAATAAATAAATTACAATCATTTTCACACAAAATCTTAATGCATTCAAAGAGTCCATTAGAAACAGCCAAATGAAGAGCTGTGTTTCCATTTCTGTCCAAAGCATTTATATCAATAACTTCAATATTTTTCATACATTTGTCTGATTCATGGAATTGATTCCAATCGAGAAGTACTTTCAAACAATTAGCTCTCTTTTCATTTTCTTCTTCAGTAGATTTAAGTCTTATACTGTCTATTGACTCAATCGACTCTTCATCAAAGCGGACAGGGATTTGGCAAATGAGATGAAGAGCTGTCTGATTGAAGACATTCCTTTGATTGGGGTTTCCATTACATTCATAGAGAAGTGTTTTAACAATTGATGTCATCGACCACTTGCAACATAATAGAAGCGACGATTCATTTGATTCATTAATGTTTTCATTTGGATTAAAATGTGTCAACAGTTCTGAATGTTCTTCAATTAATTTAAGAGATGACACTTCGTCTCCGTTTTCAACATATTTACGAAATTTACTGTTATTTCCACCCATTGTTCACAAAATTCATTATAAATCTCAATTCAAATTGATATTCAAGTGATGCGATGCGTCTGACAATTCAATCAAAACAATAATGGAGTTCAAGAATTGAAGACATGTTCCTCAATATCAATCAATCCATTCATATAATACAGAATATAATATATGTATACAGAATAATACCTGTATATACTGTACAGTAGTATTATAGTACTGTATATACAGTATCTTAAAGAATAATATATGTAAATATTTTAACGTAATTCTTGAATATATAGTACATTATAACGTATACTGTATTAGTGAATATTCTTGTTATTACCAATAATACACAATATTATTGTATAAACAATACGATTAGTACTGTATACTGTATTTTACATATAATTTTGTTATATCTTAAAATATTTCATAAATTTAATTTATTTTCATTAAACAATTGATTTATTCAAATTAATTTATTACTAAAATATTTTTATTTATAGATAATTAAAATTAAATTTATTCTACTTATATTTAACAAAAATAGTTGTATTACAGTATATAAACTGTATATAAATTAATAAAAATTAGTTTATTTGAGCATTATTAATAATTATATAGCATTATAATAATATTATTATTTATGACTAGTAAATATTATAAATAATACTTAATTTTAATATATTTTAAAAATTTAATTTAATTTAACATCTATTAAATAGAAAATACTGTATAATACTTAATAAAAAAAACTAAAATCAATATCAATAAAGTGTAGAAAATATTAATCGGATAACAATTTATAAGTCTTCATACAAATGCCTTTTTCTAAACACTCGTCTCTGTCTTGACATGAATTGCACGTCTGTCTGATCGGACAACTCATACAAAACTGTTTTGAATCCAAATATCCATTGTTTCCAAAGGATCCCAAGTCTTCAATATAAACACTTTTGGATAGACTGTCTTCATTAAGAAGACGTCTCTTATATTGATTTCTAAACAAACGACTAATTGTTTTTACTTTATTTCTTTTAATTGGTTTTTTATCAAACAAACGTTGAAACACTTTATACGAAACCACAATTAATAATATAATTAAAAAAAATATTATAATACTAATTATTATATAAAAAGTAGTGCTCACTAAAAATGTTTTATTATTATTATTATATGATTTCTCTCTATCAATAAGGCTTTGATTCATAAATATCACATTAGAAATGGTTTCGTTAATAAAGACACTATTATTACGAGTTCTGTCTAATGGCTGTGTTTTGTCTCGTCTGCAAAGATAATGGGTTTCAATAGCTTTAAAGTCAAGAATTGGTTGACTTTCAATGATAACAACTTTGGTGTTTAGTGTTGATCTCTGGATTGACATCAATTTGTAGCTATCGCTCAAATAAATAGCATTATTGGTGACATCTAAAGCAAAATTTTGTTGCATTTTCTTCGTGGAGATTACTAATTGTGTTGTTTTCTCAAAATAATTTCTTCTAAATATATTTCCGTTCAGATCTGACCAATAAAGTTGGCTCTCAATTGGATCCAACGCAATGGTCCGGGCATTCAATGAACAAAATTTTATAATTTTTATAAGAGTTAATGATGTCTGACAAATACAGGTCCAATTCTCGACCCAAAATAATATTTGTCTTTTACTATCGACCGCAATGTCCACGGGATGTGATATATTACTCAACAAATTTGTGGTCACTTTTGTGTTGATATTAAAGATATCAATTCTTGAAAAGTCATATAAAGCTAAGTAAATGTTTTGATTTAACGAATCAATGGCTAGTCTTAAATGAGATCCAAAATTCATTGATAATAATTGTTTAGTTTGTGTTATATTTAAATATTGGTCAGATATAGTAAAAGTTGAACTAAATATAGACCGAGCCGTTAGGTCGGACCAAATCATCACATTTTGGCAGATCTTTTCGTTTACATAAAAGTCTATTGCAGTGATCTTCTTATCATTTGATTTATTTGAATACAAATCATCGATAGTTTGTGATAAATGAAGCGATGAATGGGTTGTCCAGTATTTTAATAAATTCCATGAACTCAATACTATTATATCTTCACCTAATAATACAATTATTATATTAAATACAATAAAATAACTATAGATTCATATTTTAATAATTATCATTTATTTCCAAATAATGTAAATTATTTTTTATCTAAAAAAGTATTAATATGTTAAAGTATATAATTATTTGTAATATCGTACAATACTGTATTATATGTTTGCAATCAATTGTTTTAAAACATTTTTAAAATCTACATTTATATTAATACATTATACCTATACTTATACCAATACATATACTTATCAATCATTGAAACTATAATTCAATCATTGATTTATATCAATAAACTTTGTGAGTACTGTATGTTACGGAAAACAATTTCTCTGTTTTGTTCATCAGATTTCAATTTTTAATAATTTTTAAATTTTGACTTTTTATTCATTTAGAGATTAAAAATGTAGAATAAGATTGTCTGAAAAAGTAATGTCATGTCTTATAATCTCTATATTTAACTATAAATGGGTGAATCAATAGCACAGTTAATGCATGTAAATAGAAAAGTAATTACTGTATATATGAGTGTTAATGAATGGATTGAAAACGAGTGAGTGAGTGGGTGAGTGAATGAGATACTGTTCAGACATAACAATACAATATACATTTTTCAAAGTTTGTTGTGGCAATGCTCTATAGCATTCTCAACTGTTTTTATAATAATTTTTAATTATTTATTGGCATATTTGCACAAATCTTAGTTAGTATGAGATAGCATTAAATGTAAAAAAATGTCATTTAATTAATAGCATAATTAATAATAATAATTAATTGCTTTGCATTTAAAACTAAGCAAATGTTTAATAATTTTGGTTAAAACTATTAATTTAAAAATGTATTTAATAAATGTTCAATCAATTAAAAAAATATGTTAAATTTAATAAAATAAAACTATCAATATATACTTTAAGTAACATTATTATAATATTAGTACTCTATATCTATCATTATATGTATTATATTTAATATTAAAATATGTTATAAAAAATATTATTTAAATAACTTATAATTTACAAACAATAAAATCTATTAAAAACCGGAAAGATTTTTAATAAATATATCAAATAATAGTTTATAATTTCACATCAAATTATTACAGTTACTCATATTTTTCGTTATAAACTAAATGTCGTTTAATTTACAATTTTTTTTAATTATTTGCAATATTTGCAAAATGTTATAATTAAAAAATAAATACATTTTTGTCTATTTTCAAATAATTTAACTAAAAATTTTTCATATAAAATGTAATGAATGGACTAAATATGAAAAGTGTGTTAAAAGATAATTATTAAAAAAAATTGTTGACTTTATTGTTCACACACTTAACGATAAGATTATTAATACATTAAAAATATATATTAAAAATCATTTATTATCAAAAAATAGTAAAACAATTATTGATATGAAATATCAGTGAAAAAAGCGCTAAAAATGAGTACAAAAGTTGAGACTTACGGTCATTTTGTCGGTCAGGGATTGCAGTGACCAGAGAGGAGTTGCCGGTTAAGAGGTCATCACTCTCGCCATAAATGCAGTCAATTGCGGCCAAAACAAGCAGTATTTGATAAGTTAGGGACAGTTGTCTATCGGTCAAAGTCATGACTATTATTATATAGTGATTGCTATTCAAAGTATTGTTAAATCAAGTGATGTGAAGGCAATGCATGTGTTGTTTGACTGAGTGTTACGTGACTTTCAATTCACATATAAATAGCGTTCAAATGCTTTAACACATGAATCCAATGGCAAACTTGTCTCTCAATGAGACACTCACTGGACTTGTCGTCACAAATAGCGTACACTTATTGGTATAACTTGTAAGACAACTGGTATTTGTAGTGTTGGTAATTTTTCGCAATTCAATTTTCGATTGCCGCAATTGCGGAAAATTGCGTGAAATTGCTTGAAATTGCGCGCATGAGGGAATGTATAAAAATTAACTTTGAAAACGTTAAAAATTTTGTTTACAATAGATTAAGAGAATTTACTAATTTATTATTATTTTTACATGGTTTTTAGATGGCAACATTTTATGATAAAATAATTAAATTTTATATAATTAATTTATGTTTTTATTCATATTGCTTTGCCATTTAAATTTTGTTAATTTTTTAAAAATTATAAATTGTTCTATTTTACAATTGCGATTTTCGCAATCGAGCTTTTTGCAATTGCGGCAATTTCACGCAATTTCCGAGCAATGCAATTGCGCATTTTGCAATCGGTACATCACTAGGTATTTGTCATACAATAGCATTGAATTGCATTTAACAATACATTTGTTTTTAAACACCAATTGTCGCCAAATTGTGTCACTATTTATATGACATAATGTTATGCAATCTGAAGGTTAAGTAAAGGTGTTTTGTATTGATTGGTCACTTGGGGTCACATGAGAAGCACATGAATGTATGGGTCAGTCCATTACAGTACACATTAATATCATATTAATATATAAATTAATTCAAACATAAATGTGTGTCAATTGATATGTTTTTGCCATTTGTTAATACATTTTCATAATTAACTTCCTTTTTATTTTTGAACACATCATCAATACATATATCATATCAAGTGTTTGTAAATTGCAATTAACTAATTGTCACAAATTATATGATAGTATTAATTCAATTATTCATTTGTAATACTAATTTAAGTGCAATGCATTTGTATGATGTGTTAAACAATATGATTATTATAACTGCAATATTTTGATTGAAAAAAGAGATCGACAGTCAAGTAATGCTTGAAATACTATATTATAATTTACATGAATTATATGTCAATATTATACTAATATCACAATTATTATAACATAACTTATTATTTTATCACTTGTGGTGAATACTGACTATATATAGCACACAAGTTTAGTATAGGACTAATTGACCCCTGGGTTCACATATTATAAAATTGGAGATTTTAGGCAGGTCTTTGAATTTAATATTTAATTTTATTATAAATGTTTATTATATCTATTAAAATATACATAATATTTATATAATATACTGTATGAATGTACTGTATAACAGTTTATTGTAATTAAATGCCATACTGTTTGCGTTACACTATTTTTGTTTGTATGACTAACTAACCTATAATTTTGATTGAACTAACAGTTCAAGTCTTATAAATGAGATTGAAAATGAAGTTTCACTACTTTTATATCCTATTTTATATTTAAGACTAAAATTATTTTTTAAAAAAATTTATTTTAAAAATTTTATTAATAATAAATAATTTTACAAATTAAAAAAAGTTTGTGTTGACTCAAATCAATCAATTTTACATCAATTCGTATATAGTTTTGGCACGTTTTACACAATTACCAGCAAATGATAATCACATATTCAAGTTTGTCACCAATTTTTATATACAATTTATTTTAATTTAATTATATTTTTAGATAATTAAAAATTAAACTAACAGAAAATTTCACAATTCATAATTGTATTTTACATTAATTATATAATTTATTTTATATTAAATTATTTATATTATTATTTTTTAAAAGATTTATATATAAATTTAATACAAAAACAACTTAATTAAATTTAACAATCGACTGCACACTAATATAATTAAATAATAAGTTGTTTTGCATATCTTAAATTTTATTTACGGTAATGTGTTTTATTTTTTAAAATGTGAGTTAATTTAATTTAACAAATTGTATAATACAGGTAATGAAAAATAATTAAATTTGTTTTGAAATTTAATGACAAATATGAATACATGATTATCGGCTAAAATTAAAGATAAACTAAACTGTGAAAACAATCTTATGATTTTATTACATATTTATATATTGATAATATATATATACATTTATACAGTTAACATAGAAACAGAGCCTAGAAATGTACAATGAAATCAATTGATTTTTAAAAATTAAAATTAATAATAAAGTATAAATAGTTAATATTGTGTTTAATTTAAAAATTATGCTTAAATTAACAATTGTCAGGTTAATAAAATTGTAACATTATTTTATATAGCTTAAAAATAAGAAATATTTTTAAAAAAAGTATAATTATATTAACTTTCAAAATAGTTGCCTTTATATTAATTTATATATTGTAAAAATCTATAAAATATAAGCATAATATTCCTGATGATAGTCTTAATATTTGATTGTTATTATTAAAAAGATTTAAGTAATAAATTTATATAACAGTATTTTAATCAATTAATTGCAAAATTGGCAAAAATGAGAAATTTATAAATAAGATTAAATAAAAATTACTGAGTATTGAGAAATTAAAAAATAATTATCAAATAGTTATCAAATAATAAAAATAAATTCAACAGTATTGCTAAAAATCAGTATTACAACAGTTGTGTGCTTTATATGACTTAATAAATGAATAGAGAATGAGATTCATATCAAACAATTGCCATTCATTATAAATATTCAAACATTTAAACAATTAGTAAATTTAATTAATTAATTAAATAATTATTAACAAACAAAACAAAGACTTAGTTCATCGACAATGAAGTTTAGTGAGTCTCAGTACTCACTCAGTAGTAGTCTAAGTATTTTAAGCTAACGGATGATCATTAAGATAAACATCTTTAGAGTCGTCGTTACAATTGATCTCATTGTCAGGTATGAGAAGATTTCGTTTTTCTTCTTCAGTGTTTTGTTGAAATTCATATAAAGGATTTGCAAAGTTTGTACTCTAATGTAAATACAAATAATTAGCGTATATTAAAGTGTTTTTATTATTAGAAAATTATTAATTTTATACATACCTTATCGTTGACTTCAAGAGTAAAATTACGACTTAAAGCATGAGTTGGACTCAAATCGTCGTCAAAATCTTCGCCAAACATCGGGTTATTAATCTCAACATTAATGCCATTCTCTTGCATTCTTCGGTGAAGAAATGCACGATTACTGTAAACCATTGATCCATAAAATTAACAATTATTGCTAATAAATAATATAATTAATAAAATCTAACCTTTTTCTTAGTCTTAAAGCGAATACACCAATAAAGACAATCAAAAGTAGTATGAAAATGATGGCAATAGGTATGACAACTATTAATATCCATTTTGTGGTTAAATCCAAACCATATGAACTGCTTTTATACACTTTTACAGCTAAACATCACATCAAAGAATAATATTAATTATAAATATATCAAATTTCATAATAAAACTAATATTAAAACAATATTTCAAATGGAAAAATCTTTATTAATAATTAAAAATATTTGTCAACTTTATCGTTGTATATATGAGACTTACGACAATCTTCTTCATCATCTTTTAGTGGACAATCAATTGGTCCATCACATCTACTTGATATACTAATACAATGGGCCCCAACTGTTCCATCTGATGCACATTTAAATTGACTCGGAAGACATGTGTATTTGTCTTAAAAATAATTAATATATTTAATATTTAATTTTTTAAAAAAATATAACGATATATTCATGTCATAAATACCACAATCTTTTTCATCAGAACCGTCACCACATTGACTAATGGCATCACATATTTGATTGGGTGAAATACAGTTTCGATTATCGCACTGGAACTGACCCGGATTACATAGAAATGAGGGACAATTTTTTGGTTCATCTATTTATATGAATATTAATTATTTTTTAATGCATTGATTTTAATAATATTTTAGGACAACATACCGGAACCATCTGAACAATCCAAACGTTTATCTGTTAGATGAACCAAAAAAAAAATATTAATATATTATTACATTATTAATATAGATTGTGATCAAAACTAACCGCATTTCTTCCAGAATGGTATGCAATCACACGTTGAAATGCAAGCAAACTCGGAAAGAGTGCAATTGTCAGCACATGTCTTATTATTTTGTTGTGGTATCAGATCTGTGACTGACACACATTCACTGCCACCGTTTGGTTTTATAAGACATAATGTGGGACATGTATTAGCACATAGATTTGCATTAGGAATTGGCAATTGTCTATATGGATGATATACATGTAAATCCATAGGTCTATGGGATGTTGTTGTCAAAGTGGACACATTATTGCAATGATATTTATGGCAATATTGAATGGCTTTAGTTTCCCAATCACTCCAATAAAGAGTGTTCTCGAAGACAGTCAATGCAAACACATGGTGTACGAAATGTGATGTCTTTCGGGTAACAATAATGTGTCGATTTTTGCCGTCCAAATCAGTTACCGCTATATAATCTTCTCGTGCGTCCGCATAAAACAATTCTTTAGTTATGTAATCAATGGTCAGTGCATTAGGCCATCCAAGACTCTCGTTAATTAATATAGTAAACTGCGAGCCATCCATTCCTGCTCTACCAATATAGGGAGTATCGCCCCAATCAGTCCAATATAAATAGCTATATAAATGTAAATATAAAATTTAAATCATTTTTAGTATAAATTTGAATACAAATGGCTTACCCTTCGTATGGATTTAAAACTATAGCTCGAGGCTCTTCAAGACTAGTGTTGATAAGCACTTTACGAAACATGCCGTTTAATCGCGAGACTTCAATGGTGTCTTTGCCTTTATCACACCAATAAAGATTACGTCCGACCCAATCGACAGCAATACCATCAGGACTTCTAACAGTTTCTGAATGAAGTATCTGTTCGGCTGAAGTGTCATTTGAATCGCACAATCGTTTTATAGCACTTCCTAAAGCAGTCACATCTGACCAATAAATACATCTTTCAAACCAATCAAAATCAAGTGCCACAGCATTTGTTAGATTGCGAACAACAAGTTTACTGTCGTGTCCTTTAGTATTAATTTGTCGTATAAAATAGCGATTTGAGAAGATTATTGTCGAAGTAATAGTGCTGTTGGCTTTACACATAACACCATTATCTATTGAATAATAATCTTTATCACAAGAACAGACATATGAACCATAGGTATTACGACAGTGTTGACTACAGGGACGCTTAGTCTTGCATTCATCAATGTCTTTACAGATGCGTCCGCCATCAATAAGCTCGAAGCCATCAAAACAGCTGCACTTATAGCCAATAGGCATATCCTCACATTTCTGGGCGCATTGAATCTTAGTTTCACATTCATTAACATTACATTTAGATTCATCGGAATAGTCGCCACAATCGTCGTTACCATTACAGAGAAGGTCAGCTTCGATACACTTTTCATTCTCGCACTCAAACTTTCCGTCCGTACATTTGGATCCACCGGTTGTTGAATTGTTGGCACACTTGCTAAGGGACTCATCTTCGCCATCGTGACAATCATCGATTCCGTTGCAAAGCCACGTCTTTGCGATGCATTTCTTGTTGCGACATTCAAACTGATCACTCGAACACTTTCTAAAGACACAGTTCTCTGGTTCGTCTGATTTATCGCCGCAATCGTCATCTCCATCACAATAAAAGTGTTGTAAAACGCACTGAAAGTTATTACACGCAAATTCATTGTTTTTGCAAACACTGTGATTACATCCCTGTTCTGGATGTTCATCGCTGGCTTGTGAATCGCCGCAATCATTCTCGCCATCGCAAACCCAAATAGCAGGTATGCATTGACCTGTATTGTTACATCTGAACCAGTCATCCGGACAGGTTCTTGTCTTACAATCTAATGTCTCATCACTTCCATCTGAACAATCCTGATGACCATCACATCTCCAGATACTGGGAATACAATCAGAGTTATTGCACCGAAATTGGTCTTCATGACAACCATAATCGCAATTCTCTTCATCTGAACTAACGGTTCCATTGCGATCATCGCAATCATTGTCGCGATCACAAACCCATGTCATTGGTATGCATTGTGTTGTACGACATTTGAATGAATTTGATGGACAAGAAGTCTCTATATGTTTAGTCTTACAGTTTTCTTCATCAGAATTATCCCAACAATCGTTTTGTCCGTCACATAACCAATCGGGATGAATACAAGCCGTAGTTGACGGACAATTGATAAATTTCTGTTCGGGATCCCAGAAAAGTGGATGTTTGGAACAGTCGGGTCGTTCGGGACATCCAATTTCATCACTTACATCACTGCAATCAGGATCGGCATCACAACGGAATTGTGCTCCAATACACGGGCCGTCTTTACACTTGAATTTATCGGCACTACATTCACAGTCTCTTTCGTCATCTGTACAGTCTGTTTGTCCATCGCAGTGCTTCGACATTAAAATACACCGATTGTTTGAACAACGAAAGAAACCTTTTGGACATTCTCTTGTGGCACAATAGTTGAGTTCTTCATCAGAGCCATCGTGACAGGCATTAACGCCATCACATGTTAACTCAAACGGTATACAAACTCCATTTCCGCACTCAAACTCTATATCAGTACAGCTGGTATTCTTGACAACACATATCTTGCCATTAGATGATAGAACTTTTCCGGTCAAACAATTGCATGAAATCGAACCGTTGAGCAAAACGGAACAAATGTCTTCACAACCGCCGTTAAGTGGAAGACAAGGATTTAAAGTACAATCTTCAGTATCATTAGACACTGCGATTATACCCATTGGTCGGGGAATATTGCGACGAAGTTTGACCACTTGAGATCCGGTAAATTTATCGCAACGGAGAACGGCGTGTTCGACCCAATCCGTCCAAAAAAGATAGTCGTCAAGAATTGCCAAATCAAATGGATGTTTAGGTGTCTCTGTTAATAGTAAATAACGATGACTTCCATCTAAATCACATCTTTCTATTTTATCCAATCTTGCGTCAGACCAATAAAGCTTCTGAAGTTTATGATCAATGGTTAGAGCGTTTGGCATTCGGATATCGGTTGTGATAATTGCGTGCAAATCATAGCCACTCAGGTAAGCTCTTTGAATACTAGGATTTCTATTGTTCCAATTGGTCCAATAGACCCGTGAAGCACAACTATCTACAGCTATTCCTCGGGGTTTATCTTCAATTCCTAATTTTATAATTTTTTCAATCTTTGAACTATTTTTTCTTAAATTAATTCTTGAAATAGAAGCGTCACTATTACTGGTCCAATACAGTTCGCCATACAAATGATCGTAGACTATACCTTCAACAGATCCTTGTTTCTCAACCAATACCTTGTGATCGGTTCCATTGAAAAAACTACTGCTTATGCTTCCTCTTTGAATATCTGAGTAAATGACTCTTTTGGACAAATAGTCAAATGTAAGTCCGATAACATTTCTCATATATTCTTTGTTTGTAATACTAGAATACGGAGCGTTCAGGTTTTGTTCGTTATTCACATGAATTGAATCAATTTCAGTGACTTTTGAATACATGATAAATGCCTCATATGGTGTGCACGTGTGATTGTCTTCGGCAATCTTCCCGTGAGCACACGCACACCGATGACCTAATTCTGGTCCTCTAAACAAACATAGGTCTTGACAGTCGCCGTTATTAACAGCACATCGATTGATCTTAGAAGTGGGTCTTCTGTAAAATACTCGAACATCTTTAATATGGTCTCCCATTTGTATCTGTAAGGGAGTGACCGTTGCATTTGCATTATCTTTGTCGGCTCTAATTATAGAACCGCCTAAATAGTTAGTGTCGGCCCAATAAATATATTGATTATATATTGTAATAGAAATGGGACTAATGATATGAGATCCCGATATTATAACTTCACGATCGCTGCCGTCTAAACTCATTCTTTCTATTCTAATGGCCTGACTATCGGTCCAATAAATTTTATCTTCGAGTACATCGACAACCAAATCATTAATATAATCTATACTAGAGTTACAAATGACAGTCCTCTGAGTTCCATCAAGAAGTGCTCTTTCGATTCTCATAGTAATTCCGATATCACTCCAGAATATAAAGCCTTGTATTGGATGTACAGTCAGTGCATTCGGTTTACTCATATTTCCAGAAAGTATGACATGACGTGAGCTGCCGTTCAAATGCGACACTTCGATGACATCAAAGTCAGGGTCCACCCAATAGATGTTATTTGCAATCCAGTCGACAGCAAATCCTTCAATTTTTTCAATTCCGTGAACTATAATCTGATGACTAGTTGTATCTCTTTTGATACGAGTAATACTTCCGTCATCGCTGTCCACCCAATAGATATATCCCAAGTCATAGACGTAGTCAATAGTAGAAGCCATTAGAACTCTAGATATAGGCGGAAGCATAGGCTCTGAAGTATCGTTTGGTTCGGCACTGATACCTCTTATTCCCCAATTCCATGAATACATAAGAAAGATGTCGTGACCCAAACAATTGGTTTCATTATTTGGATCAACATTAAAACTGATAGCACACTTGCATACTCTTTTGACAGCTGATACCATTAAACATAGATGTGAACAATTGCCATTGTTTTCACATAAATTGGAACCGGTTTGAAGTGATTTGTCATAAACTTTAAGTGAGATCACATCTTCAGTTTGATTTCGAAATATGGCTTCAATTGATCCATTGGTTTTGTCAATCATATGAATTGAGTTATCGATTTGTGATGAAAATAGTACAAAATTTTGGTAAACAGACAGAGCTGACGGTTCCACTTCTTTGCGTGGATTTTCTCCCGAATTTAATAACATGTGTATCACATCTGATCCCAATTCGATGTATTGAATGGTAGCGCTGCCAATGTTAACCCAATACAAACGATTAGGAATTGATTGTAAATCTAATGCAAGACTTGATGGCTGATCCAAATACTTGTTGTGTGATTTATCGACTAATACTTTAATATCACTTCCATCCATAGCTGCCTGTTTTATAACAGCGTCTCTACTTTTATTAGTGTCATCATTGTCTTCAAATCCATAATCCGACCAAATTATTATACCATTCATAGGATGTGTGACCAAAGATCGTGGATTATAGAGACCTTCTGTTATAATTTCTGAGATGAACTCACCCTTTAGATTACATACAAATATTTTCGGATTTGTGTCTTGAGAAGTGACAAACAGATTCTCAGCGATCCAATCAATAGCGAAACCATAAGGACTGGTAATTACCGTATCGATTATAGTCTCGACTGGACTTCCTATAAGCATAGCTTTCTTAACTTCATTGAGTTGAGTGTCGGCCCAATAAACCTGTTTATGTTTAGCGATGTAATCCATTTGTGAGGCATATATTACTTTTGGCAGATTTATTGGTGGAATCGTATGATAATAGGGTTGTTCTAAATCAACACCTCTTATCTCATTTTGTCGCGATATTAGCAAAACTTTATCGTTAGGAATACAGGTTTTGTTATCGACATCGAGTTTCATAATATGCGGACATTTACATTGATAAGTATTGTTTATGTTTATAAGACACAGATGAGAACAGTTGCCATTATTAATGGCACATAAAGATGTTATATTATCTGTTGGCTGTCGTGACGGATGAAATATTTTGATATCAAATGGTTGAGTGATAGCTCTTTGAACAACTTTAATGTCGGTTCCATTCCATTTGTTGGCACGAATTACTGAATTGGTTCTCCAGTCAGTCCAATAAACATGATTTTCATACAATGCAATAGCAAATGGATGAGTTAAAAGTTCATGTCCTCGAAGAACTTCGTGATATCCGGTTCCGTCATATTTGACAGTATTAATAGAGTCAGATCGGGCATCAATCCAATATATTCTGAGTGTGGTATAGTCGAGGACCAGTCCATTAGGCCACGCGCCGTCACTCGAATCTACTTTATAAACAACTCTTCTGTCTTCACCGCTCATTGACGCCGACTCTATTCGTGGAGACTCAGAGTCCCAATCCGTCCAAAACAATATACCGAATCTCGGATCAAGTGCTATGGCTCGGGGACTAACCATTTGTCCAGCAATTAAAGTTCGCCGATAACTACCATTCAATTTTGCAACCTCTATCTGATCCAAATTGCTTTCAACCCAATAAATATTATGTCCGATCCAATCAACCGCCAGTCCTTCAGCAGTAGCCAAACCTATTTGAACGATGGACTCGATATTAGTGAGAGACCCGTGAATAAGAAATCCTCTAAAAATTTTATCGTCCATCACATCCGTCCAGAAAATCATATTTTCTTTATCAGAATTAAAGAAATCTAAAGCTATTGTATTCTTTAAACCCGAAAGAAGAGGCTTAACAGACATTGTATTTAAATCAACGCTTCGGATCTCATGTCTGTTTGAGAATATAACATAAGGTATGGTTGGGTCAGTGCTCTTGCAGGTGAAACCATCAGATTGTAATTGATAGCCACTTCTACATTCGCACTTGAATTTCATCTGATTTATTTGGACACAATCTTGACTACAGATACCCCAACTCTTACAACTCTTTGTTGTACTACAAGTGATATTGTCTTCTAATAAAGAGAGATCATCGGGACATAAACACGTGTATCCCAAGCCATCTGGAATATTATGACACGAACCGGTGCAATGAATTGAGCTCTGATTGAAAAAACAGTGATCACTGTGACAGAGACCGTCCTCATCGGTACCGTTGACACAATCAATATTGTTGTCACAGAATCTGGATATCTGTAAACAAATAGTTCGATTGTCTTTAATAGAGACACACTCTCTATTTGGAAGAAAACAATTAAGACACTCGTCTTCGTCAGAGTTATCTTCACAATCATTATGTGAATCACATTTGCGGTGCAGAGGTATACAAAATCCCGAAGATTTGCACATAAATTGGTCAGAATTGCAGGTGTGGTTCGTCTTAAAGCAAATCTTGTCATTTTCATCGCTTCCATCAAAACAATCTTTCTTTTTGTCGCAAACAAACGCATTTTGTATACAATCACCGGAAGTACAGTGAAATTCGTTGTCGTGACACTTGACAGCCGAAGGTTTTGTCTTATTGTACGTGTTTTGGAAGCAATTCTCTTCATCGGCGCCGTCACTGCAGTCCCAAACACCGTTGCATTTATAACTGGTATCCAAACACTTGTGTCCGGACTCACAACTGAATTGTGTCGACGAATTGCAGAACAGATGACAATCAAATTCATCTGATTTATCGCCGCAATCATCTTCACCGTCACATATATACTCAAGTGGAACACACCTCGAGTTCTTGCAGATGAACTCCATTGCCTGACACTCTTGTGCCGTACATCCTATGAATATCAAAAAACAATTTTTTATTAAAGATATTTTGACAAATAGTGACAAAAAATGACATCTTAAGACATACCAATACATAGGCTCTGATTTGTTTGGTTTGTTTGATCCAACTCTTGTTTGCATTGTATGACCAATGCTATAGTGGCGATGATCAGCAATGACAAGCATATGACTGGACACGACTCGCAAGACATGCTTCGGACTCTCTATTGTCTGTCTATAAAGTGATGGTCAGGTGCTGTCACTTCATCAATGGTACAACTCTTGGTCTGCATTTCTATTGTTTATTATCATTAAATATTTGTCGCTTTTATTGACCAAAAGCTTAGTTACACTTCTGGACCACAGATGGATCTCTTGGTTCGCAATACACATCCACTCATTGAATGTCTCTCTAAATGTCATTATTTTATTGTCACAAATGTTTGGTTGCATTCATTGTAATCATATTTATTGGTCACTCGTTTTAATAATAACTTTAACAATAGAGTATATATTGAAAGTAATGAGTGTTTCCTGTAATTTATAACATTATTTGTTTCATTTATAAAATAGTTTTTTAAAACTATAATATCAAACATATTTAAAACTATTTTTGATTTAAATTTAAAACTGTTTTATTAGTTTAAACATTAATTTATTTTTACTAATAAATTTAATTTATTACGATATTAAAATTAATAAAATTGACATTATTATTTCATTACCTCATTATATAATGATGATAATGATATTAATAATAATAAAATTGTAATTATTTTTTATTATCTGAAAAGATGACAAAACTATTTTATCGGTAAACATATTTTACATAATAAAAAAATCTAAAAAATAAATAAATTGATTATAATAGTGATAAAAATTGTCTTTAAGTTTAATACTAGTAACTATAGGTCAATTTACAGTATTGTATTGTACAATATTTATCATATACTGTAGTAAATAGGTTTAAAATTATAAGATAAGTAATATACAGTATATATAAAAATATATTTTATTTAATGCAAAGTGTAACTATCATATAATAATATTATTAATCTAATCTAATAAAAACAGATTTAAAATGAATTAATAATAAATAATTCATATAATTAATTAAACTTTAAAAAATAATTTAAGAATTTAAATATTTAAGTTATATATATATATAAATCTCTCTCTCTAAATATATATATTATAAATACAGTACTTTATATTGTTTAATAATAAAGTGGGTCAAATTAATTATAATTAATGATAAATCAAATATTATATGAGAAATATTAAAATCATAAAACATTAAGGTTATGTTGATTGTATAAAATAGTTATAAATTAATTTTTAAATTTTTCTTTCTGTATACCGGTATAACGTTATTATATTTGAAAAACACAATACATAATAATCAGACATCAATTAATTCTTTGATGTTTTGATTAAAAAACAAAAATATAAATAAAAAAATGAATTCAATTACTTTTTTAAAGTTAATTTTCGGTTTCAGTTACATTTTCTTTACTCTTTTGACAACAACAACAAAAAATACATAAAAACACAAACTTAATGAAAGGATTTTTCTAATTATTGTCTGAAAAGTTTTTAACAATTTTTTTAACGCTAGTTTATGTTATCAACAATTTTTAACAGATTTGTTTTAGAGATATCATTGATTTTGATTATATAGTTGTGTAAGTATATATATATATATATATATATATATATATATATACAATATATGTATCCATAAGTATCTAATGGAACAAATGGTAGGATTTGTTATATAAAAATAAATGACAAATAATAGTGAAGTGTTTGAAACACATTTGAAACATTGCTTTCGGCGAAAACTTAATTGAACTCTATTTGAACGCTATTATCGGCCAACCATACCATTGAACACTTAAGAGACGCTTCAATGACACCAATGCCTCCCAATTCAAGTACAATGACTTTATTTCTCCTAATATTTTGCTATTAAAAACAAATATCACCGGAATTTGTCAGCATTTCTTTTATTTCTTTTTATAATAATTTTCTTTAATTATTATTTATTTATTTTTTATTAAAAATTAACTATAAGTTACTTAATAATTTAAATTCACATATTATATATAATTTTGCTATAATTATGTATATAAATATTTACTAAACAGTTTTTTAAATTAGAAATATAAATAATTTCTGTACTTTATTTATTTTTAGTGCTTTTTTCAAAATGTTGTATCAAATTATTCTTTAGCGAAATTTTTAAAAAATAATAAATCTTTTCTTATTAATTCCAATATTTTATTTTATTTTTGTATTATACTAAATTTAATGTCAACTGTTTTAGTTTTAAACAATACCCTAAAAATTCACAATAAATTCACATTTCTGCTATTTTTGCCAAAATAATTAATTTTTGTAAAATATTTACTTGAATATATTGAATAATAGTTTTAAATATTAATTTATGTAATTAATATTTAAGCAAAAATAACTGCAATTACTCACATTGTGTATAATTGAATATTTAATTTATATATATATATATATAAAATATATTTAAATATAATTAGCTATAAATAGATATATTATATTTTTGGTTAATATGTAACTAATATCATAAAATTTATTTTTATATGTATAATTTTTGTTATATATTTTTACTAACAATTATTAAGTATAAATTGATAAGTATAAGTATTTATAACTATTTATAAATTAAATATTTTGACTCTAATTAGCTTAAGGACTATATTATACAATATATTATACTATAATATTCAATCCAAAACGTTCAATAAAATAACACAAATATATTAATTTTTAATATTTTATTTTTATTTTTATTTTATATTATACTATAAAAATTTATAAATATATTTGTTTATTCAAAGTTATAAAAATGAATTTTAAACAAATATGAGTAAAAACAATTGTCTTATGAAATCATAAGTTCATTGTATTTAAATGACAAAACTATATATATATTTAGATATTTTTAAGTTTTAGTTAATATTAACAGACAATATGTCAATAAAATGTATTTACAACTTATGTATAAAAACAATACAATTAAGTGCTTAATATATTATACATATTTACAATTTAAATATAAGTTTGTGTCTAATATAACAATTAGAGACAATATTACAATTTTAAAAAGTATATAAATTATTAATTGACAATTACTTAGAAATATATAACTTTTTAATAATTAAAATAAATATAAAAAATAAATTCCCGTAAATATATTGCAAAAGCAAATTAAAAAATAAGTTAAAAATAAAATTTAAAGGAACTTAAAGTAGATTTTGATTTAAAACTTGAGTATCGGATAAAACAATTAGAATAGTTTATAAGCGTTTTGTTTAATGATTAGAAAATGTTTCATTTATATATAAAAAAAATTTATAAGACTATTAAAAGAGTTAATTAAATATTTAAGATTTAATAATAAATAATAAATTAAGGAAATGTTTTAAACTGCTATTTTGCACTCCAATTGAATAGTTGGCCACATATTTAAATTAACAATAATTATTATAATTATAGTTTGAAGATTGATAATCATTTTCCTAACGTTTATTTTGCTTCAATGATCATGATTTTGATCAACATTTTCTGGTGATAAAACTTGTTTAAAAACATAGATATTGTCACCACTTTCGAGATCCTATGAATATAAATATATATATAAATAATTAATTAAAAAAATAATTGAAATAACAAAAAAATTTGAATCAAATCATACATGTAATCGATTGCTGTCAGCAAATCTATTATCGTCTCCATAATTATATGACATACTATTCCTAATGGAGGCACTCCTCAGTGCATGAACTCTACCGAAAGGCCTTCTCTCGATTTGATCCATATTTATCTCAATTGTTGTCAATCGTTGCTCTTTCTTCCGGTGCCTATATTTGATAATAAAATAATAATATGTTTTAATAAATTGACAAAAACTATAAAAATTAATAAAGGAAAACACACCTGAGATAAGTGTAATAAAATACGGTTATAATAACCATTAGGAGGACAGCGACAGTCACTCCGCCAGCAATGCTTGCCGTCTCAACCAATACTTTCTCACGAGAAGCTATTGTTATATATAAATTAAAAATTAATTATAAAAAACAAATTTTTAACAATTACTTAAATTATTCAAATTATTGAAAAAACTTACGCAAATAAGATCCGTCTAAGTCCTTGAATTCACACCTCTGTCCCATATATCCATCGGCACATCTATAATGGCAATTGAAAAAAATAAAAATGCAATTAATTACAAGTCATGAGTGAGAGGAAAGAATCGATTAATTGAGTTAAATGTTAGGCAATAGTAAGTAATACATACTCGCAATTGTAAAGTATAGACTCGCCGATCCTGACTGAGAAACAGGTCGCACCGTTCAGACAATACCATTTTGCGTAGGCTTCAGGACAGGCGTATGTTTGGAATGTTATGTTTGGCCGCGTTGTGGGCGATGGTGGTCGAGGTTTGGGAGTTGACCGAGATGAACAGGCTTCTATATACAGTCAAATATATATACATTTATTAATATAAATTTTATATATGTATAATATATTAGAAACGGCTGTATAGTATACAGGTAATCATATTTAAGTTTAAATCAAATCTGCATCTTATAATTGGCTTATAAGTCGGACACAATCAATTAAAAATGACCGCAATTTCTAGTATATTAACGCCCACACTATTTATATAATTTTATATAAATTTACAATATATCATATATACTGTACTCTATTCTATTCAACATTATATTATATTAATATATATTATATATATATAACACTCTAGTCATGAAACTCTTAATTGCTTTTTTAAATGTTTTTATATATTTTCTAATTTGTTTAACATTTCAAAAACGCGTTTTATTATATGTGAGTTAAGTCTAATTATATAATAATGTTTATGATATATATTTCAAATATAATTGAGAAATCTTAAACCCATTGGAAAAGATACTGAAGGTTAACCTGTATTATGTGATACCATAGAGTGCAGTCATTTACACTTTTGTTGGCGAAACAAGGATTACATCAATTATATATATACCGGTATATACTGTATGAGTAACACTGAGAATCATCGGAAGCAGCAGTACATGCACTGTAAACTCAATATAGACTATAGTATTATATATACCGGTATATATATATATACAGTACATACTGTATATACAGGTAATACCTTAAAGGAAGACGACAGCCCTTCCGTTATTATATACGTTTCGGTCACAGTTATAGTGATAGTCACACTGTAGGCAAACACAACTAACAACATATTACTAGAAACTAGATTTGCTATCAAATAAATATTAGACATTTACATAAAGCTATGTAATAGAGAGCCTAAAATTTAGACTCTAAATATGAGTGAGTGAATAAATGAGTGCGGGTGAGCACTGGTGGTGGGCATACAGTGAGAGCATAGAGAGCACAGGGAGGTATAGTTGGGTATACTTTCTTGCGTTGTCAGGTGGAGTTTGCAAAAAAACTTTTTGGACACAATGATACAGCAAATAATGCATTTTTTCAGATATTTTAAAGCCGTAAACAACATAAATAGATTAAAAATTATAACAAAATTATATAAACACTATATATTAGTAATTATATATAACATTATAGCGATATATATATATATATATATATATATATATAGTCCTATATAAATATAATTTATTTTAAGTTTATTGGAGTTCCCAATGAGTAGCACTGTTTTAAGTCAATGAACTTTCCTTTTCAATTAATTGCAAATATACTGTATTTAATACAATAAAACAAGAGTTTTATATATATGTTAATTGAGTGAGAATTTCAATAAAACTTCAAATCTTGATTATGTCTTTATGAAAAAAACAATTATAATAACTTTGTTTGGAAAGTATTTTATTTTAATTTTTTCTTTCATAAGACTAATAATAAATATATAATTTAGTTTTGTTTAGTGAATGATTAAACAACAAATGATATTGTACTGTACTGTACTGTATATGTAATGTATTGTTTGCAATATTATGAATATATTTCTGTAATAGTGATAGTAATATGAAATTAATTGAATATCCATCAGATTTGCTATTTACAGGTTGTGTCAAATTGTTTGAAAAACAGTATACCATTGGAAATATGTTCACAAAACAAATTGGAAGGAAAGAGGATATTATTGTATGGATATATGTATTAAACAGTAATAGTAGTCATAGTAGTAGTGATAGTAGTATTGCAGGTAAATATCGGAAGTTGAGTGCACGCTATGGCATAGCGTTACACTTTGGTCTGCATCTGCATAAAGCTATTCAATAAAAATAACTTTTAGCCAAAAATATTATTACAGGAACCGGAAGTAAGGCTCGATGGACGTGGATATGGCTCGCTTAGCAGTCTATACCAATCCATATCATAACTATCTGTCCCCATGACCTCTGGTCAGACTACGGTAACCCAGAATATCTAAGCCCTGGATTCAATCATTTAGTGAATTCTACCAAAGCTTTCATATTATTGTAATTTCATATGAAATGTTAGAAAGTAGTAAATATATTAATGTATAATATAATAATGAGATAATGTCATTATATTTATAAATCAAATAAATAAACTATAATTTAATTTGTTGATTGAATCTTTATTATTTTTATTTAACTGATTGATTGGTTAATTTTCTAAAACATATATTAGATTAATCAGACTAACTGTTGTTTTGGAGAAAACATTTTACAAGAAAAAACATCTGCGATGAAAGTATTTTACAAAAATATTTAGTTATTTAATAAGTAAACTAAATGACTAAATGTTTGTCTAAAAAAAATCAAATAAATAATTGTAAATACATTTAAATACTCATTTAAATATCTCAAAATTAGATATATATATCCATTTTTTGCATACGTTAAGCAAAATACTAAAACTGCATCTGTTTAAAGACATGGATAAGAGGAACAGGATAACAGTGTGTGTGTGTGTGTGTGTGTGTGTGTGTGTGTGTGTGTGTGTGTGTGTGTGTGTGTGTGTGTGTGTGTGTGTGACACAGTTACATCAATGTATTTGGATATGAATTGAAATGTTGTAAAGAGTGGATTGAGAGTCGTCTCCACTTCTTTAAATAAATTATATTATTGCTGAGCTATGGTTTTTAACCTAATGTGTGCTCAGTTAACAAACAAACAATTATTTTTAAAGCAAATTGTCAGAAAAATGACAATTTTGTCATTAAAACAAAACTAATGTCTATATATCTATAGAGTATATTATGCGGTGGACATCCTTTAGTCAACATTTTATGATCTCTTAACTCTAAGAAAGAGTGTATTATGTTATCAGATGTGTATAATAGATGCAACACCTGTGCAATGGATGGCCAGACTTTCACTTTTCAAGTTTAGCTATAACTGAATGGTTGACTGCCTTTTAAAGCATTTCTAATGAGAGTCGTGTGCCATAAGAGTTGGAAAAAGTGAAACTTATAGACTGGCGGACAGTTATGCCCCCAAATGACCCCCAAATCATGGCTTTTTAGAGCTCCATATGGAGTGCAGATAATGGTTGTAATAATCTGTAGTCAATCTTTGAAATTATTTGCTTTCTCTCTTTGGTTACTTTTCTATATGACCGCACAGTCAGTCACAGTGAGTGACAGTGAAGTACTTGAGAGTTAGGTGACCGCTGTGTCAGTGCAATCATTGGTTTGTGGTGTTGTGCCCGACCAGACCATCTGCTTCTATACACGTGATGGCATGTCTGGCCTTAAAGGCGTTTATTATATGAATTGCAAAAACTTTCCACAACAGCACCACTCAAGCAAAGCCAGGCTTTAGACATAAGGTGAGCCACGCGACCGACAAAAACATGTTATCAATGCTATCTCGACGAGTGCTATACAAGCACCGGCACTGCCACGAGCACCAACACATACACACACATACGTACACAAGCACCTGGTCATACTTTTCCGCTCACCAGCACATCATAAATACATCAATCAATTGGAAATAACATTACAGTTATAATAACATAACTATTGTATTACAGCTAATTGTATAATAATTACTAATATTATTTCAAAAATCTCTGTATTGTTTTTCTCAGTTATTTTATTAGTCTATTGTATTCAATATATTATTTTATTATTTTTATATCATATATTTATAGTATTATTACACGATTGTTATTTATATCACTCAATTAATGTTTTATATAAATAACTAATTTTATTATCAAAGTCAATATTTACGACAAACAAGTGAAAATTCAAATTTAAATTAAATAACAAAAATAGAAAATAATTTTATTGATAATATTATTTCATGTAATAAATTATATTAATATATAATAATATTCATGAGACGAGAATCTCTTTATAAAATACTGCAATTCAACGATTATTTTTGTATAAATTCTTTATTTTTTTGAGTCAATAGTAGAAATAAAAGTTTCGATATAATAATGTTCAACAAATGCCTGAATTGTGTTGAATTCAAGTCTAGACATTTGTGTTGTATTAATATTATATTATAGGCAACGAATGTTTTTTAAGTTTTAGCTTAACTCCAACTCTAACCTAAAGCTTTATATCACAATTCTCTCTCTCTCTCTCTCTCTCTTTCGGTATTTGAAAGGGAGAAGCAATTGTAGTTTTAAACTTAAATTATAAGGCTTGTAGGAAAAACAGTTGATGTGAGGGCAGCAATGGTATACACGTGTGCACACGTGCAGAGAGTGCAGACACGCGTCGGTCGTTCGCATTGCACTGGCAATGATGGCAATGGATGGCAATGTGCACCATTTGCTTGCCAACAAATACCCGGTGTAAAAAATACAATGAATTCATTGAATTAGTGAAAAAAGCTTCTGCACCGGCCTCTTATATATATATATATATATACAGTATATAGCTATAGTCGTGTAACCGTTCCTCCAAACACAGCACCACTACTACTACTACTACTACGATATATCGGTATTGTTGTGCCAATGGCACCGTAACATGTCTCCAATGAACTGTAGAAGTGAACCAATTTTTATAAAAGATGATGTGATGGCAACGTATGGGTCGACACAAGAGCCGCGTGCGCTAGTGTTTATGACTTTCTATTAGTGAAACTATGAACAGCACCGATAGGCAGCTAATGGCACCAAATTGTATTACATAGTCATGTAATGCAATGCACTCATAGTTAGCTAAAATTCAAATCTCTATAAATACTGTTTTTATCGATATATATATATATATATATTTGTATGTAAATAAATATATGACATAAGTTCTTTGACCTTCAATGACAACACCAATCTATTATATATATATATATATATATATATATATATGAATCCATGAGCTGTTAAGTACTAATATTATAAAGAAATGAGAAATAATTAACTGTCTGTTAAATTAGTTGTCTGTATGTCTGTTACTATTTTCACGATTCAAGGACTTAATGAACTTTTTTTAAGAGTTAAGAGAAGTACATCTCTTCGACACTCAAACTCGAGATTCATT